ATCCATCGTTCCCCCACTCGCGCATTCTGACCAATGTTTCTTGGTTCAAAAACAGTTCAATATACTTATACAGGATTCACCCGTCGTGTACATGCACCAACATGCCGTAATAATCCCAGGAATTATTTTTTTTGAAAAAAAAGGGCGGTATAGCGCATATTCTAATCTTGTTTTTCTCTAGAACTTGCGAACAATCGAGTCAACGATACACACAACTCAAGCTATGCCGCCTCATCCCGTACAAGTCAAATTGGGACTCTAGTACACATTTTCTGCCTTTTGAAGAAAAAAGAAGAAGAACATCAGTAAAGATATAGTTACCCGAAATCTGGGTTTATGATTCAGTCTACCATAATTTTTCCTTCAATATAAAATAATAACCCCCCAAAAAACACCATAACCCGCTATGCCAAAAAAAAAAGAATCAATCATTCAAAACACCATTCTAATGTCACCTACTAAAATAATCATGTTGCACACCATCCCTACTAGGACTATACGGCGTATACTGCTGTTGTTGCAATGCCGGTGCTCTAACCGCCCCCATAGGCGCAGCACTATTCACCAAATTCCTCTTACCCTCATCATCCTCGTGAACTTCATACGGACTGTCTGTGCTATCTAATCTGCGCATGCCTAGTCCAGGTTCGGGACTTGGGCTGTATTCGCGGAGTGCAGAGGGGGTTTGGTGGTAGCCAGCTGGATACGAGACGCCCGTCTCGTCGGCACCGCCGAATGTACGGTCAGAGTCGCGCGAGTGGGAGCGACCACGATCAGCAGCTGCGCCGCCAAAGTGGGAATTGGGTGTGTCGGGACGGTGGGTGCTGGATTCGCCGCCGTAGACGGATCCTTCGCCGCCGTGCTCGTCGCTGAATTCCGGGCGGTTCTTGTAGTTTTCAAAGTCCATGTTGGATTCGGAGACGAACTCAAAGGGAGCGGGGGCTGCGGCACCAGAGGCCATTTTTCCAGGGTTTTCTTTGGACATGCGTTTCATGGTGTAGACGTCACTGAAGGCGGCTGTATCGCCAATGTCGCCGTCTAGACGGCCGCGGTAGATTTCGGCAAGGAGATGTTTTGACTTTTCGTTGACCATAGGGACAGTGAGTTTCTGGTAGAGAGCTGGGTGGCTAGTTCAATGTTAGTGACGACTGCAAGTCTGCAAGCAACAAGAGTAACATACCCAAACCTCACAGCAACACGATCCCTCTTCCTCGACTCCTTGTCAATCGGCGTAGGCGCTTCAACACCCTTCTTACTATCACCCTGAGTGTAGTACTTGAGCGAGTTATCAAAGGTGTTTTTGCAGTAAAACTTGAACGCAATCAACCCTATAGGAAGAGGAGCCAAAGCCGCAAGCATGTGCCATTTGAAGTTCGCTCCACGAGCAGTGACCAAAAGTGCAACAATGCAGTTGGAGAGGAAGATACCGACGAGCATACGGTTGAAGAGAACACGCCAAAAGGCACCTCCAGACTCGTTCTTTGTACAGAAAACGTACCTGAATATGATTAGTCGGCACCCAAACTAAAACAACAACGTCGACTTACATGAGAAGGTACTTCTTCATCCAGCTGTCCAGAGAAAAGTAGATTGCAACAATAACGAGCGTGACAGGCTGCAAGGGCGCAAAGCAGAAGGCGACCGTCGAGTAAAATAAAAAGTAGTTGTAGTAACTTGCATAATCAAACGGCGGTGGCGCAGTCCGGTTAATCAGATCCCTAGGAGTAGGATTCAAAAACTTGCGCGAGAAACTGCCCCAAGCCAAGTTCACAGCCTGCGCGAGGTCAATGGCCGCACCCAAGTTACGTTGCACGAGCCAGGTGACCCAAAAAGGCGAGACCTCGCAGAGTGTGCGCATCGTAGTATCGAAAAAGGCAATGGAGCGCAGAATATCCATGAAAGGCACATTTTGCTTGGTTGCGAGATTGACAATCATGACAATCATGCCAAAGACGGCGCTGAAGAGCGAAAAGACGAAGAGGTTGTTGAAGACGAAGAAAGCGTATAGTTGTGCCGTGACGTGGCGTTCACGACTTGTTTTGGTTTGGTCTCCAGACTTGATCGAGAGGCGGCGGAAGATGATGGGCAGGAAGTAGTAGAAGAGAGATGTTAGGGCCGGCGCAGCGAGACCTTGTACCACGGCCCAAAAGTCGGCATGTCGGGCGAGCTCGACCTGGAAAGTTGGCCATACGAAACCCAAGTTGGAGAGTTTTGACAGGAAAACGGCGATGAGGGCGTTGGGAATAAAGTAAAGCAGTGTCAAGAGCGTGATCCAGAAGTTGTTCACAATCTTCCTCCACCGTCTTGTCTTTGGATCCAGTGTCAGGTTCTTCCAGATAATGTCCTTTGGCTTGGGTGCAAGCCGGACAGTGGTTCCTTTGACATGCTTGCTGCGGGCATTGAATGCTACAGTATGAGCCGAAGTGATGTTTTCGTAACTGGCAAAACCATATGGAAGAGCATCGCGCTTATCGATGGACTCGCGGACTTCCTTGATCTGAGCCTCGAGTCGTTGGATGCGAGCTGTCAGGTAGTCGATGGCGTCGACCTTTTGTTTCTTGCCCATAAACTCTGGATCCTTCTTGTGCGGAGTGCACATGGGGCGCTCGGCCGGCAGTTGAGCCGGGTTCTTCAAATACTTTGCCAGGACATTCTCAAGTTCCACAACTGCCTCCTCATGCTCCTCGATCAGATCAGGGACATCCTTTACGTTTCGTCCAATGGATACGCGTGGTACATCCGGGGTAGTCTTCAGGGTATCTACAATCTCAATGATACCTTGGTCGCTGCGAAAGCTACGGCTAATGTCGGTGATCATCAAGGTCCGGGCATGGAGACTGTTCTGATAGTCTGGGCTTTCGAGATATTGGCGTCGCAGACGGTGCACCGCGCGATATGTCCACCAGAGAAACGCACACACTGTGATATCCAGGATGTAGGCAAAGACAACAAAAGCCCAAAAGACTTGACCAGCCAAGTCTCTTGGCGTCATGAGAAAGATGATCCTGGAACTAATACTACCTTCAACTTTTTTTTGGGTTGGTACTGAACTGGCAACATTGACGGGGACGATGATTGCGCAGCCTAGGAAGGCGAGTACAATGAACATGTTCCTGCACATGCGGGCAAAGCGCAGAAACAGCGTCGCATCCAGACCAATCTTGTCGACATATTCGGGCTCGTTTGTTTTGAAGACTGGCTTGTACCAGGCAAAAAGGCTCTTGTCCAGAGGCGGCGGTCGGTGCTTTTCATCTGTATGACGGAGGCGGGGGGCGTAAACGATGGTATTAAAGGGCCGTAGAATTAAAAAGGCGACAAAAAGGGCGGCGGTAATGCCAAACGAGGTGCCGATAGCGACAAGAACCGAATCTTGTGATACCTGGAATTGTCAGAGGATCTCTGGCGGGGAAGAGGGAGCATGCGACATACTTGAGCACCGAGTGGGTTATTCTGCATCAATTGCTCAAACTTCTCTTCCACGCTCAGGTCACGCCAGAGCAGCGTACTACGGGGAATGGAAGCCATAACGAATGTGGGAGTTGTTGTGAGAGGGCGTGTAGCGAGAGGTGTTTAGTCGAACATGTGCGGGCGCACTGTATACTGGAAAGATAACGAGGGGAGAGTGTCAGGTGGGAGGCTGCTCAGTGCATGTCTCTGGCTGATGGTCACCCCGTAGAAGCAGACGATTAGCAAACTACAAAGGTGTTTTCTAGACGCAGCAGGATATGCTGCGATTGGAATATTCAAATTACGCAGGGAGCAGTATAAACGATAGGGAAGGCCAAAAGAGCGAGAAGACAGAGGCGTGTAGTGTAGTTGCAGAGTCTCCAGGTGGTACAGCGAAATGTTGCGATCGGCGGCGAGGTGCCTGCTGGCCCCGGGATGACGATTGAACCCCCCTTCGCGGGCGGATCCCTGTCACATGTCCAGGCACGCCCGCCCATTCGTCGACACAGCGCCGCCGTTTGACGCCGACAAGGAAAAGGGAAAAGGGTACGCGGCAGGCCAAGGCAAGGCTTGCGGCTGTCTTTATTTTTGGGTTCCAGGCCCTGGTCTTTCGCTTGGATGCCATCGCAAGCGCCTTGGAGAAGGGAGCCGCCCGTTCGTTAGGAGAAGTGATCGTCCGGAGACGCCTTTTCTCGTTGCTTCCCTCTTTGCCGATGAACCGTAGGGGAACTGGAACAAGTCGAAGAAAACTATCGTGTCTTGCACCGCCACTCGGCTGCGGCACAATCACTCGCCGCCGTTGATCTGTCGGAAATGGGGAGGGAGGGGGGCTTCGATTGCCCGACCGAGATGGTACCGTCCCATGGCTATTGTTCATATTTAACAGGGCGACCAGCGACCGTTGTTCCGGATAAGGCTGCGGTTTCCTGGTTTCGTGTTTCAGGCCACACCACAATCACCGCCATCTTCATGCCTCAAGGGGTGGGTTTCGAGTGCACGTGGCGCTGCCTCCTTCATTGGCCACTGCCCATGCCGACTCTTCCGGCCCATCATCAACATGACCAGCTCACATTGAACAAAATGAGCTGGCACTAAGTAATACAAGCTTGCTTCAATCAGCCAGCACAGTTTGTAAATCTAGTAACACTCCTGTTCGTAACCGCCATCATGCTCAAGTTGGTAGTAGCATCTCACGTCATCTTACACCATGGTACCGAAGCTTGTTTGTTTCTAGAAAAGGTTAAATTTCTTTCCTAATTCATACCAAATGCCATCCTTTGTTCGTTCCTTTAGCAGCACTGTCTACCGCCATTTTTGTTTTTTTGTCATCTCAACACCAAAGAACCCAAATCCTTCCCACTTGCTCAGACTATTCATCCGCTTTTTTTCTTCGTTCGCCAAGGACTAACAATATCCGGTGCAAACAAGTCGTCCATGCTGAAGCTTTTGACCGACCTTGCTTCATCCGCCCCGTCTCCTTGACAAATGCTTTGCTCATACAGATCCATCTCCCCGCAAGAGCGAATGGCACTTGGCAACACGTGCAGCGGCTTCTAAGCGCCACCCGCCGCCTTGACGAGATCGTGCACCTTCCTGGCCAAATCGTCGGCCTCAGCTCGTGTTTCGGCCTCTGCGTATACACGAACTGCGTCCTCGGTACCACTGGCACGAGCAAAAGAGCGCCCTTGGCGCACCTTTTGAACTTCCTTGTCGATCTGCGTCTGGAGGCCCTCAGGTGACGTAAGTTTTCGCTCGGCGTCCGTCGTCTTGAAGATCCTTCGGTCCTGCACTTGCACCTTGAGAAGGCGATTAGGCAGGTCGCTGTATGTCGACAGCCACTCTTGCGGGCCCCAATGCTTGTGTGCGAGAACGACCTCGACGAGCAAAAAGTCAGAGAGCGCGTCTCCAACTGACTGGTTGATGAGGTTGATGCATGCACGAAGCACATCGAGAGCCTCCTTCTCACCAGGGTTACGAGGCTCGTGCTTTGCGATCGTATCGAGCGTGTCAGCAGAGAAGATGACGGTGCCGTGGCCGTTGGCCTCAAAGTAGACACCAATATCCAGCTTTTCAGCCGCGTGGTGCAGGTACTTGACACCGGTAGGTGTGCAGTCGACCTTGAGCTTCAGTGTCTCTTCGACATACTTTGTGGCGGCGCCGTTTGCATATGCCGTTTGAACAACTCCAATAGTAAGCTTGTCGGCAAGTCCGCTCTGACGCACCGTGTCGCCTAGGAACGAAGCAACAAGGGTTGCGATACGGTCGCCATCGAGCAGGCGGAACACATTCTTCTCGTCCTTGAAGTAGTACACGACACGGTCAGCATCACCGTCAAGCGAGCAGCATCGGTCCCCAGGGCCAGCCTTTGATGACGGGGGTGCTCGCTGGTTGGTCTTGACGAAGTCTGCACCGCACTGTGTCCATGCTCAGTAAAAGATCTGCTTTGAAGCAACGCACCACTTACGTCAACGTTCAGACTCTCGGGCTTGATGACATTGTCGTTGATGACAAAAATCTCGAGACCGCCCTCCTCCTTGGATGGCAGATGCTTGATCAGCTCGTTCAACTTGGGTCCACCAACACCGTTGGCGCAATCGACCGTCAGGCTGCCTGAAGGCTTCTTGCCACGCAGGGCTTCCTTGAAGGCTGTGCCAAACTTCTCATAGTAGCCCTTTTCGGTAGGCTCGCCATAGGCGTCTGGTGTGCCCTGGGTGTTGAGGCAACGAACCATATAGTGCAACTGGGGTGTGGTCAAGAACCCATAGTCCTTGGTCTCGGCGCCGGCGCCGTTGAGACCATCGACAAGGCATCCGAGTAGCCTTGATCCTGACGCCCTCGTGTCTCGGGCTACAACGACGCGAGCAGGGGTGCTGAGATCGATCTTGTGCTGGTCCGCAATCTCTTGGTAGTACTTGGAAACGTCTTCTGGCGTGGCCTTGTTTGCCATCTCAGTGCTGATAACCTCCCAATCTTCCTGTGTGATTTATTAGATCGTCCGCTATCGATCGTGTCGCGGTCCGAGCAGTGAAAATGGACATACCTGCAGCATGTTGCCCTAGGTAGAGTTAGTTTTTGTCACTGCCACATTCCTGTACATGAAACTTACCATTGGCTCAACAAGCTTTACACCGTTATCCTGAGGTGGGTTGTGGGAAGCCGTGATCATGACTCCAATCCATTTTCCCTTGAGTGCCCGTGATCGGAGGGCTGCAATCAAACCAACGCGTGTCAAGACGGAATCGAGGACATCACTGCGGTGGTCAGCTCAGTTCTGAGGGCGCGGGGTGCGGGGTGTTGGTGGGCGGCGAGCAAGGATCGGCTGGTCAGTTTGAGGGGTGTCGTACGCTTTTGTTCGGAACTATAAATACTCAATCAGCTTGATGACTTCGATGAACTGAACTCTGTTGGTCCCTACCCCGGCAGTGCCATATGTGTACACCAGTCCCTCTGGCGCAGGGTGCTTCTGCGCAGCATCGACAATTGGGTCAGACATGATGCTTATTTGATGGCTTTTTCCAAAAAGGTCAAGCAGTGAATGCTGGTTAGGGGATAAAGAATCGACGAGAATACAGACAAGACCGATGCTGAGATTGACAGGTAATGGCCTCAGAGCGGGGAGCGTGGCTCTTGATGTACAGCAGTGTTGTGCTGAGGCAGATGCAGGCAAAGACCCCGCCCACGCAGCTAGCAGGGATGTTGCAGGGCTGCTTCTTTCCACTTCGGATGACGTTGCACTCGTACCTGGCTAACCATCACCCACCTCGGCTTCAGTCTATTCTTAGTTGCACACGGTCAGCCGCGTAACAACCTTTAGCTGAACCAAATCACTATTCCACGCCAAATCATAGTCATTGCTACCCTGTTTGGGCTACTGAAATTACCTTTTGCTTCTGCTGCAGCTACATACCTTGGCCCAATGCGGGGTCGTTAGATGGGCGGAGAGCTTGACCGCTCCTCTCACTGTACACTGCCACCGCGCGCGTTACAACCCTAGCATCTCGAGTGGAGCCGCCCGATGCTACCCGCCAATGGCTTAGTTGGCTGTTCGCAATGCTGGTATCAGACAATAAATTTCTCTCTCTCTGTTCTGTTAGCGGTGACCCCACATGGCAAGACATCACATTCTGCACAATAGTTGATAGCTTGTTTGGCACAAGAAAAGTGAAGTAGATTGCCTCCGCTTGAGCTAAGGCGCGACTGAATTATCTGGGGAGAAAAGTCGAACAAGAAAAGTCCAGAAGAGATATGGCATAGTGAGCCGACCCAAAGACAACACGGCTGCCAAAGAAATAGGACGTGGAATGAGTGAGACCAAATGCCCTCAAAAGCCTTGCGGTCCAAGTCCAGGAAACCTTCCGAAGCCACCGGCCAACACGCTGTGACTAGGAATGGGACTACCGATTTCGCCCAAAGGTGGAGGAGCTGGCGCGTTGTCGCTGAACTTGATGTGCGAGAGCCGGCCATTTTCCTCCTTGTATTCGAGGCTGCCACCGCCGTTGGTTTGCGTCACATCAAGAATGTCGCAAGCCTCCTTCATCTCGTCCATGGACACGACAGGTTCAACCGCACCCCGTGATGCATCAACGTGACGGTGCACTTCTGCAGCGTCGACATAACCTTCTGGGTCGGAGCTGCGAGGAGCTAGCGTCTTGCAGGCAGTGCAGACTATGCGGCGGAGCCAGACAATACGCGGTTCATTCGGGTTGCGCTCATGGCCTCGGGCTGAAAACGGACTGTTGAAGATGTTGGAGGTTGGCGAATGACCCCACGTGGCACCAGAGTTGAACCCCTGCAAAGGTGGTGTTCCCCAAATGCTCCCTCCACCTGGCCCGCCAAATGAGCCATACTGTGAACCTGGAATGTCTGCAAACCCAAATGATGGGGCTCTCACAGAACCGTGTTGCTGTAGGCTAGGCCGTCTGTCAGGCAGCTCGGGCATGTCATCTTCGTCGTCCAACAGGGCCTTGCTTCCAAGATGGCTTGCAAGCTCGTCAATATCGGAGCCCCTGGGGTCGTCGACTGGCTTGACGCTCGAAGGTCGCTGGATGGGCGCTGGTCGCTGGATTGGCTGTGCTTGGGGAGCGGCAATTGGGCCTTCAACGCTCGAGAGTCGCTCAAAAGACCCAGAGCCTTGCCGAGAATGTGACGGCATGCCCATGGGAAAGGCGGAGGGCATCGGTGCCGAGAATCCAGGGGGTGCAGGGAATCCTGGCGGTCCTTCCATTGGAAATCCTCGGCCCATGGGTAGCACACCTGGAGTGTACATGCCTGGCGGTGGGAATCCGCGAAAGCTTTGTGGAGTGGGTTGTGGGAAGAAGGGCATGTTGGGGCGGGGTCCCATCATGCCAGGTATCATCGACCCTGGATTTCCGAATCCGTTCAGGCCTGGAGGCATATTGGCCATGCCCAAGCCCGGTGGCCCTGGCATTCCCGGTGGCGGGCCCATTGGGGGCATTGGAGATGTCGGCTGGCCATGTGGCGTGGACATTGCTTGCTGTGGAATAGGAGGCTTTGTCAAAATGGACCGCGGTATTGACTGTCCATGCGACTGTGACGATGGCGAGGTCGACTTGCTCGTTGCCATGGTAGCATGAGGCGTCTTGGGTGAAGAACCATGAGAGTTTTGCTGCGAAGTTTGCCGCGGTCGATTCGGGGTAGGAGCCTTTGGGAGAGCCGGTGTGACATGGGGCGAGGGTGTTCCTGTAGACGAGTTTTGCTTGAGCAATTGAGGAGGTAGTGCGACGGCAGGTGCTTGTGATGCCTTTTTGGATGCAACAGCGTTGTGAGCGGCTGCGACGGCGGCTTGATCCTCCTTGCATGGGCGGTCCTTGTTGTTGTTGTCCGTCTTTGACTTGGCTTCACGTTCCTTGCGCTCCTTCTCCTCTTGGGCTTTTTTTTCCTTTGCCTCCTTGTCTTTGGCCTCGCGTTCCTCGCGTTCCTTGCGCTTTGCTTCTTCTTTAGCCTTTTTCTCCAAAGCCTTCTGCTCGCGTGCTTTTCTCTCGGCCTCCTGCTGCCTCTCACGCTCTTCTTGCTGGCGCTTCAGTCGTTCAGCCTCCTTGCGCTGCTTCTCCTCCTCTTGCGCCTTGCGCTCGGCTTCCTTCTTCTTCCTTTGCTCTTCGCGCTTCTTGCGCTGTTCTTCCAGGCGCTTTTCCTCTGCTGCCTTTGCTTCTGCCTCCTTGGCAGCCTGTTCCGCCTCTTTGCGAGCTTTTTCCTCTGCCTTTTGCTGTCTCTGCTTGTCCTTCTTCTCCTTTCGCTTCTGGGCCTCTTTTGCCTTTTTTGCTTCTTTCGCATCCTTTCGTATGTCCTCTTCCGCTAACTCTTCGAGTAATCGCTGTTGGCGCTCCGCGGCCACTTTTTCTCGATATGCTTGAAGTACTCGCTGCTCAAACATCCGGGCTGCAAATATTTGAAACATTCGACGACCCTCCTCCATGCGCTGCTCCTCCGTCATGGTCCCCTGGGGCTGATTAGTTGCAAGTAGTGAGAATCCGGCACAAAAATACGCACTTCCTCATCGTCCTCATCCTCGTCGTACTCGTCGTCGTCGTAGTCCTCATCGTCTTCCCCCTCGTCGTCGTAGTCGTCGTCTTCTGGTGGGGGAGCACTATGACTGTGGCCAGCGTAGGAACGGTGCTGCATGTTTGGATGGGCCGAGAATTGTGCCTCTTCTTCGCGCTGCATTCTCCGCTCGGCCAGCTGCTCCATCATTTCAATGAACTTTTTCCCATCGTTCTTGAGCAAATCGTCAGCGACTGTAAGTATGCCACCTAAAGGGATGAATCAGCATGCTCCCAGCAGGGGGGTTTGGGGGGTTGTGGTTGGCGGTGTATATGTATGCATACCTTTGACCTGTAAACTGCTGCCAAACTGGAGAAAGTCGGAGGGCTCTGGGGGCGGCAGCGACGGTTCGCCGGAGCTGTAATCGCCTTCGGAGGATATTTCGCTGTCGTACTCGGAGTCTTCGTTGTCTTCTTCGCCCGAGTCGTACTCTTCCTCGTCATCGTCGTCGTAAGGACCGTGCGGTTGCGGGGGATTGAGCATGGGGCGCGGATGAGGAGCACTGGACGCATAGCGATGATTAGCCTCGGGCATGAAACTAGCGACGTCTTGCTGGTGGTGCGCGTACTGCTCGAGTTCCTCGTAGTATGCATCATATAAAACTTCCAGCTCCTCCTCGATGGCGGTGCGCTTGCGGCCGCAGACGGTGCAACTGCACGAGTGCTTCTGCTGCTCCTTCATCTTGCGCAGGACGGCCTCTTTTTCAATCTTGACGAGCGACTTGCGCTCATCCTCGCCGAGGGAGAGCCAGAAGTCGCGTATGCGCTCTCGCTCCTCGGCCGTGGACGTGTTCCATATACGGTCTTTTTTGGAGGCTGAGCGGTTCATCGAGTGCGAGGTTGGGGCGGGGCTCTGGCGCGTGGGGAGATGCTGCGAGTAGGCCAGCGGCGGGGGTGCAGAGGGCGCCTTCTTCTTGCGCCGCGACTTCTTTCCCGAACTGCCGCGCACGGGAGCGTGGCCATAGGGCTGCTGGTAGTCGCCGTTGGCGCCGTATGTGTGTTCGTAGTCATCGTCGGAGTAGTAGGCACCCTCTTCGTACGGGGGTTCATCGAGCTCGGGATGGGCATATTGCTGTTGCTGTTGCTGCTGCTGTTGAAGTTGCTGCTGTTGCTGTTGTGGTTGTTGCTGCTGCTGCTGGGCGGGGGTCAGGCCATTCCGGGCAGGCGCAGGTGCAGAGGCAGGCGGGTGAGGTTCCTGTGCAGCCTTCTTAGCCGCCTCCTTCTCGCGTCGCTTTTGCTTCTTGCGGTTGACGGGGGTTGGGGCGGGATCGTGAGTCGCAGTCGCAGTGCCGTTGGGCGGCATGGTAGCCGTAGCCGGACCTCTGGTGCCCTGTGCCATGAACTCGCAGGGCAATGGGCCGGATGGGAGCGGGGGTGCAGTGCAGTGCAGTGCAGGTGGTGGAGCGGGAATGGGTCGGGGGGCGTGTACAAAAGTGCTCTCGTGGTGGTGGGAGTGGAGCAGCGGGAGGAGGGGCTGGCCGGGCACTCGACGGGGGCGGGCGGCGTGCAGAGAGGGCGGGTGCTATGGGCGGCGAGTAGAGGCACAGCGGGGGGAGTTGCTGGCGGGGGGGAGCGAGGCTCGCGGGCAGCGTAGTCGGGTGGTGAGCAGGGCTTGGTGTTTGCGGAGAGCGGCAGGGCGTCAGTTGTTGGAGGTGTCGCGGGCGGCAGGTGCCATGTCTTGGCGCGGGCCAGCCTTGCACTTGCCTGTGGCGGCCTTGCCTTGAGCCCGTCCGGCCTGTGCGTGTCCAACGGCAGCGGAAGGCCAGGAGAGCGAGGGCAGGCGCGACCGGCGCTGGGCGGGCGCAGGCAGGCAGGCACAGGCAGGCGGCGGCTGTGCACCAACCACATCGACTGCGCCTCAGCGCCCCCGTATCACTGCACGCTCAGCGCTGCTAGCATAGGTACCAGAGAGAGTCTCCAGCACACCTGAACCCACACCGACTCTCACCACCACCCATACCCGTACACGCACACACACACACAGACACGACCGATACACGCCCCGCCGCCGCCTCACCTAGCCCGCGCTCGTGCGTGCCTCCGCCGTGATCGTCAACGCCCATTATTAAAGGGTCCCGCCCGTCCCTCTGTGCTGTGTGCCTCATCCGCCGCCCACGGAACCATTCCTCACCCGGCCGTCGCTAGCTCCCCTGCCGCCGTCGCTGTCGCACGAGACTGACACTACCCGCTACCACAAACACCAACACCAACAACATCAACACCGCCATCCCCATCACCACCACCACCACTCGTCTACCTCCACTTCCACCTCCTCCTCCTCCGCCGCCGACGAGGACTACACCTCCCACCATCCTCACTCCCTCACTCGCTGCATCGCCCCCCGCTCATTGGCTCGTCACCACGCCCGCCCGCCCGTCCATTCGCTGCCCGTCGCGCTCTCACTCCCCCAACGCCAACGCCCACGCCCACGCCCACGCCCGTCCGCCCAGCCCGCGCCGCTGCTTGTTGACACACGCGCGATAGCGATACACACGTCGCTGCATCCACCGTCGCTACTTCTCCCTCGCTCAACCACGGCTACTTGATTGTATCCGAGCCCTCTGCTCACCCGTCTCCCTCATCCTCCACTTTCGACCCTCCGCGCGGCCTCACTCCCCTCCACTCCACACCCGCCATGGCCCAACAACAGCAAAACGGCGAGCCCGTCATGCGCAGGTGCGTACAATTCAACTTTTTTTCTCTTACTCTCATTCTACATACCCCTGTCACTCTTCAGCTTCCCCCATCCTCGGATCTGTCCTGCTCTCATCACTCGCTCTCGTCGCACCTCCCCTCTTCGTCGCCTCCTTTCCCCGTCTCACTCACACCGTCCTCACCACCACCCGCCCGACTGCTGCTCAAACTTTGACATGCGTCGATACCTTGGCCTGTTGCACCCCGGCTTTTGCGTCACACCTTGCATACGGCGCTCCCGGTCCGAGCATTCGCCCGCCTAAAAATAGCCCATGTCACTCCATCCCCATGTCCACTTTTTATCGACTCGCGCTCAATTCTTGCTGCTTTCGGCCCTCCTGCATCAGCGTCACACCCTAGCACCACTCCGACACTGCACCCAAACCATGCACCTCTTGCGCACCCTGCTGATCCTCTCTCTCTAGGAAGCTAGTCATTATTGGCGACGGTGCCTGCGGCAAGACCAGTCTCCTGAGCGTCTTCACCTTGGGTTACTTTCCAACCGTATGTCCTCGTACTCGTTGCCACCGGCAACAACACCTTCCTCTTCAACTTAGCATGCTAACGCCGTCTCGTAGCGGTATGTCCCAACAGTTTTTGAAAACTACGTCACCGACTGCAGAGTAGACGGCAAGTCCGTTCAGCTGGCCCTGTGGGATACCGCTGGCCAAGAAGATTACGAGCGTCTGCGCCCTCTTGCATACAGCAAAGCACACGTTATCCTCATTGGCTTCTCGGTCGACTCGCCCGACTCCCTCGACAATGTCAAGCACAAATGGGCCGAAGAGGCCCGTGAACGCTGTCCCACGGTTCCCATTATCCTCGTCGGCCTGAAAAAGGATCTCCGCGATGACCCCTTGGCCCAGGAAGAGATGCGCAAAAAGTCGCTACGCTTCACAACCACCAAGCAGGGTAGTGACATGAAGGACATGATTGGCGCCCGCAAATACCTCGAGTGCAGCTCTCTAACCGGCGACGGCGTCGACGACGTCTTTGAAGCCGCTACCCGTGCCGCTCTTCTTTCTGTCGACAAGAAGGAAAACCCAGGATGCGGATGCGTCGTTTTATAATCACAAAAAAGGAAAAAAAGCAGTCGAGCGTTCACTCGCTCGCTGAACACGTTTAACCAAGATTTTCTCTTCTTCTTTGTCTCACAATTGACATAAAATGCATTGGGCGGAGTAAAAGCTTTTTTTTTACATGGAGTACATGTCCCGTTCTATGGACAGGTTCAATCGCCATAATTCCTATTTTTTCCATATCATCCATTTTCTTGGCTTTTTGACACCCGTTTTAAATCCTCCCCCCCCAATCTTGTTTTTTTCTTGGTTTCTTGCCTGGTGCTTTTTTTTTCTATTCCAAGTTCCATGTTTCCCGTTCTGAGCGAGTTTTCTGCTTGTATTGCTTGTTGGACTCTCTCTTGATTTTTGTTGGTTGTGTTTGGTAAAAGAGATTGCGAGAGAATGAGAGATTAAGACAGAGAGAGAAGGCATGAAGGTTTCTTTACTTCTACCTCTAATGTACGACAAGGCTTGATTGGTGTTTTTTCTCTTTGTTTATTTTTTTGGTAGGGAGTATTAGAGTCATGTGTGCGTATGTGTGTACGTGTGTCTTGTCTGTGTGTGAGCTACCCGATTATACATTTTTTTATATTATATATATATACGTATGTACGTTGTGCAAAGAGACAAAGAAAAGATTAAAAAAAGAAACCGCACCCTCCCCTTCCCCTCCTTCTGAGATTGAAAGTTCTAATGAAAGAGCATGTTAGACATGGGAACAAGAGAAAGAGAAAAGAAGGATAAGTAGTTGTAGTAGCTAGTTTTGGTTATTCATCAGACAGAGAAAATTCCATGTCTTTTCCTCATATAATACACATCCTAATCCCCCCCCCCCCCCCCCCCCCCCCCCACACACACACTCATATATCCCAACCGGGGGGAGTTTTTTAATTCCTCGTCCAAGCACTATTCCACCCCTCCCTAGACGGAAAATCCGTCTGAACCCTCGCGTACTCAACCGGTACACTCCCCCAGACCCCCCTCTTAAGCATCGCACTCCGATACAACCTGCCCACCTCCCTCCCCTTAACCCCCAACCTCCCCGCATCGGGTCCCTGGCCCCCGGCCTCCTCCTCACTCACTCTATTGCCTTTACCGTCGAGTAGACGTAAATGCTCGCACGCGGCGCGCATGCTGTTGTATTGGCGCTCCAACTCGCGTTCTTCGGCGGCGCGGCGCTTGCGCAGGAAGAGAAGCCAGGCGCGGTGGATGGTCCAGTGGCGTAGGGAGCGGTTGCGGGAGAAGTGGAGGGGGCGCGGAGTTATAGGGTGGGAGAGGTGGTAGCGGATGTTTGCTATTTATTTTTTACGTTAGTAAATCTGAAATATATATTGTGCTTCGTTTTTAGTTGTTTTTTTGGAGGAAAGAAAGTTTTGGGGGATGGATGGTGAGGGGAGGAAGAGCGGGGGAAATCGTACTTATCCGCGGATCATTGCCTCCACCCTTTTTCGACCGCTTTTGCAATCGGGATGTAGACGAGAATGGGGACGAGTATGTGCTTGGTTTCTTTTGCTGGAGATGCGGGCGCGTGAGGGACTGCCAATTGCAAGATGGTCGCTGTATCGATGGCGCGGTCGAAGATCGGAAGACTGATCGGAAAGCGGAGAGATTCATTTTGGGTGGTTGTTGGTGGGAAGGGGGGACCGCAATTGGGACCTTTGGAGGTGGGCTGGATGTTGCGCCATCATGGTGTTGGGGAAATTCCCGACTTTCAAAGTGGCAGGGGTGCAGCATCCTTGTCTGCCAAGCGGGGCTAGTGGGATTACGGCTCTCGCGATGGTGGTGGTACAGCATCGCGTTATGTTCCTGGTTGAATTCGAAGAAGTTGTTCCGTGGTATCGTTCTATTTTTCATTCCAAGTATTGTTACGTGAATATCAGAAATGACGACAACTTTTACTTTACCCAGATTCATCACCAACATGCAAACATCCCGAGTACCTCTTTTCTCTACATGAACGCCCACCATAGACCAAACAAGCCAAGTCCACCTACACCTTCCGCCTAACCAACCCCCTAAAGAAATCAAAACTATTACTATCACTCTGCAATGTAACCACCTTGCCCGTGGGCCTCTCCTCATAACCCAGCTCCTCCGCAAGCAACAATCCCCAATCCCGCGTAATCCCCTTAATCCTTGCCTTAACCCCACCCTCACTCTCCAACGTAACAATCTGATTTGTATGCAACCAGCAATCATAGTACTCCCCTTCCATCTCGCGATTAAACCCAGAGTGGCAAAAGGACGCGTACAGCGTCTCAAAGTGCGCGAGGATGGATGCAAGGAGCTTTTCGTGCGTCAGGGGTTTCAGTGGCGGGGAGAGGCTCGATGCGAGCATGTTGAGGGATGTGGTGGGCAGTGCGTTGGAGAGGTTCAGTCCGATACCTGTTACGACGTCGTATGAGGAGCCTGAGTAGCTGCTGTTTACTAGGATGCCGCCGATCTTGACGACGGGGTTGTTGGCGGAGCCGGGGAGCTGGGCGTAGATGTCATTGGGCCATTTGAGCTTTACGGGCATCTTTTCGTATCCGGGTGCGTAGCCCTTGATGCCTTGCACAATGGCGAGTGCGGCGAGGTACTGGATGAAGATGACTGGGGCGCTTTGGCTGAGTGAGAAGGAGTGGTGTAGGACGGTGGAGAACATCAGGGCTCCTCTGGGTGCAACCCATACGTTGCTTCCTCGACCACGCCCGGCAATTTGTGTTGTCGCAGTCATGGTGAAGCCGTTGGGAAGACTCCGGAGTAGTGACGGATTCTTTTCGAGAAGGGTGTTTGTAGAAGTGACAACCTCACCGTAGATGAGATGCTTTCCAAACGACGCAGCTGGGTTGCGCAGCTTATTATGGTAATGATGAAGATTAGCATAGTATGCTTCGTGATGAAATGGTGTATCCTTTGTCGATGGAAGCGCCTTCTCATGCGGAATCACGACCTTGACGATCTTCTCATACTCGACAATCTGATCCGGATCGGTACTTGCAGTGTATTCAATGCAATCTTGAATCTCTTCCTCATCCGTCTTGGGCTTGTTCTTCTTGCTTTCCTCTCCGAAATCCTTATCTGCATGCTCCTTTCTGCCGTCTGTCACAGCAGCCAGTATAGGTAGTTTCTCCGATACTGCACTCACCGCTCTCTTCAGTTCTCTCACGCTCCAAGCAGTTCCTTCCTTCTCTATGCGGAACACATCATTGCCTCCCTTGATGTAATCATCGCCATCGACTACAGTGATGATTTCAGCCCAGCTGGCAACGAGTGCCGAGACGTCTGCTAGGTTATGAGCAGTGAGATGCAGGCGGGAGAGGGACGGTACCGCTTGTTCCTTCTCATTAGCACGCAGGCCAAGTTTCTCGAGGACCAAGCGCATGAAATCAACTCTCGTGGCATCTGTGGCAGCGATGTCGTCAATCAGTTCTTTGTAGTTTGGCAAGCTTGGGACGACGCTGAGGTTTTGTGGTGCGAATCTGTACAGAGTTAGACAACAAGTACTGTACAAACAACAGTAAACATACTCAGGATGCGGACCAGTAACGATAGCATGACCGTCACCAACTTTCCGATACACAACCGCAGCCTTGCTGTCCCCAGAATCGACATGCAAGTCCTCAGTGTAGCTGGCAAGAACCTGTACACCCCGGCTCTCCATCTTTTTCGCATCAACAAACACACCTCCGCCATTATAATAACTCTTGAAAGTATCCGCAACACCTTCGGTTGCGCTATCAAAAGCTTCCTTATGGATCTTGATGTCGGCCGCCTTAGCACCAGCCTCACTAGCATACTTGAACCCTGCAAACGCCAGTCCACGACATGTGCCAGGGAAGAAAGCGAGCTCGCGATCCCCTTCTACAGCCATATTGGGGTCGCCGAGTTCAAATTCGCATTTCGCGCTTCCATAGTACCCGCCTGCGCAGAAGCCGAGGTATGAACCACCTCCATTCACATAGCGACTGATGCGGCGGTTTCCCTCGCCATTGAGCGTACGGCAGTATGCCATATCTGCACCTCCTGGGAACACAAGAAGTGCGCAAGTGCTGAACCATGGCTCTTTGATGATCACGTCTCCCGTGACAGGTATGACGGCATACGAAGGAGACAATAATCGCCGTAAAGTGTATATACAATTACGAACAGACTCAGTGGTACTACCATGGCCTACGATGCATCAGTTTCTTTTCCATATCTTGTCTAAATCAGCATACCCGAGTAGACCAGGACATTCATCTTCTTGGACGCCATGTTGCTTGATACAGTATGGTGACGTTCACCAGTGCGGACCGAGTTTGTCCGTGCGCCTTCAGGGTACGTACGTCGGCGCGAGTCACTCGACCTCAACACCACCAATTCCGAATCCCAAGCTCTTCAAGATGTCAAACGATGACAAAGCACGTGCTGCTGCTGCGCAGTTGATGATTGACGACGAACCCGATGACTGGTGGGTGGCGATTTCGGTGGTTGCGAGTAGCAAAGCTAATGGCGATGGCAGGGACAAGCGTATTTTCAGCACAGGCTGTGCAGGTATACTGAGCGGAGTGGGATTGGAAAGAAAGCTCAATTGACTTCTTTGCAGATGAGAACGCCAAATTGACCGACTGCTACTATGACAAGAAGGACTGGCGAGGGTGCAAGCAAGAGGTAGGTCGAGTGCTACCCTTAGCCCGGAAGCCGAGACGGAGCCGAACAGTCACCACACCAGAACGCAGCTAACACAATCTATCTAGATGGAGATATTCCGACAGTGTTGGCAGCGACATGGGAATAACAAGCGGACTGCGACCAAAGATGCTTAACAGCCTGGTGCCTCACCCAATGTACTAGTACATGTAAAAAATCAAGTTAAAAAGCAATTATATCACCACTGTGCTGACCTGATGTTGTATGTGACTACCTCCAAAGCTTTGTTGGACTTCTTTAGTATTTTATACCTAGTCGACAATAACCCTTCATTAATATGCATCTGCATTGCCCATTGTCCCATATACGTGGTTTACACTGTGCACAAACCCCACCGAAATTTCCTTCCTCACCACCGTCGTCCTTCCCCTTCGCCTTGATCCTTCTTCCAGCATTATAACTCTCATAATCCATAACGAACAGCAACCGTTCGAGTTTGAGAAAAGTGTCAAAATACATTACTTCACTTTCGCTCGTAGATCGGAGGAACAACAGTCGGGTGGTAGGGTGACTTAGCCGTGTCTGCCTTTTGCTTGTCAAAGCTCCACACGCCGTTTGTCTGGCTGTCATTGACGCTCTCGCCAATCTTCTTGGCCAGTTGCTCAAACAGTGGGTATTCCGTTGCACGAGTGAAGAACTTGCGCTCCCACTCGCGACCTTCGTCCTTCTCTTGCTGTCTCATCTCTCTCTGGCGAGTCTCGATAATGGTCTTTTCAGCCGAAGTCAATTCCATGTTGCCCGAGTTGATAGCATCTGAAACCTTCTTCCATGCCCTTCGGGTCTCAAAGTCATCCTGGTCCTCAATTTCGGCGACAGTCAGGGGTGTCGTCTTGGTGGTCTTGTGGTCAAATGTGTCAACGACAGTCTTGGTCTTTGCATCTTTGATCTGGAATGTGTCGTTCCATTGTCCCTCTGCCTTGTAAATGACATCCTTTTCCTTTCCCTCGGGATATAGAATTGCAGAGAAAGTATTCTTCTTTCCTGATACCCAGCCCTTTCCGCTGTAATCGATGCGTGCAGTGTATCCGGTTGAAGATTGGATGTAGGTGCTGCTGTTCAACTCCACATATGGCGAGCCGGTAATAAGGCCTTCAATGTGAAGGGGAGGGAGAGTAATGAGATAGCTCTCGTTGAAGCCATCCAGATGAAGCATGGCATGGCCAATTTGCTATTGTCCATTAATATTGAATGATGTAAGAAGACGGATATCCGACTCACCTTGACATTGATGGTGGTCTTGAACGATGCCTTCTGGGCATTGTAACCCTCTAGCCGGACCCCGTGTTTGTCGTTCCAGATAGCATAGGCAGTGACTGGTGGGTGATGGCTGGACGTATTGCGTTAGTAAGCCCACTGACAGATATCGGACCTACCCAATGGTATCGTCCCACTAATCTCAAGCCAATGGAGATGCATACGTACCTGACTTGCTCACTCACGAGTTGCGTGGTGCCAGCCTCATCTTCCCATTTACCCAAGAATAGCTCCCCCAAGAAGGGGTTGAGGGGCTTCTTCTCGCTACCCAACTTCTCGGACCGGCTAGCATACTGTTGTTTCAATGTGCTTAGGAACCACTTCAACACCAGCATAGCTCGTTTAGCAGGGTCTTGCTCGGCGGCAGGCGCGACGAACAGGGACGGGTGCTCGGTCCAGTATGACGAAAACTCGGTGAGGGATTTCGTAGAGAGGATAAAGGCGGGCGCGGTCATAGTCGAGAGATCGCCATTGAAAGAGGCGATGGACTATTGCCAAATGTTAGCTAGTCGGATCTGAGGCAAAGAAGATATTTTTTGGCAGTTCCATCTGCCCTTCCCACACCAGAGACTGGGGAGGTTTCTCGATCCAAGCATCAGAGCGTGCTCGCTATGGTCTCGTGCCGTACCTTGAGGAAGCTTGACCACGAGCTCTTTGCCTGAGGGGGCACAGCGGCGCCTTCTTTCTCGGCCATGATTGCGACTTGAGGGTGATTTGGCGTGTTTTGGTGTCCTTGTAGGGTGTTTGGGGTGAGGAAGCCTTTTACGGGGTAGCGCGCGTGGGTAGAGATGCGTGAAAAGCGGGGGATGCGACAAGTTAGCGGTGGGAAGGCCCAGTGCTTGTGTTATGGAGACGGCGCGTTTAGTTTCGGATGACGTCTCCAGGCTAATTAGCGGGACGCGCAACATCAAGTCCGCCATGATGATCTCACCCGCCACGCTCCTAGATAGGAGTATTGCCACCAGGTCGTAGGGCTCTTGTTACTCAGAAGTATCAATAATGCAAATTTGACTGGTCACACGGTGCACCTCGACACCCTCGTCAATAAGCATCAGTCACAGCAATCTTGGCAAGATTCAAACACTACGTTTTTACTTTTACAATTTACTATCATGCTAAAGTCGTGCGATCGTGGCCTACTCGTCTCATCATGCTCATTACTCTACACACACATCTATTCCAGCAACACGCTTATGTCTTAACATCGGGCTCGGTACGGCCAATGTACTCCTGGAGCTTCAGGAGATCAGTCGCAAGCTTGACGTTGTCCTTGAGGAAGTCTTGGGCATCCGTGTCGTATGTAGACTCGTCGCTAGTGTGCTTCTCGATGTACAGACGGATGGTGGCGCCGCTGCTTCCTGTACCGGACAGACGCACGACAATGCGGCTGCCGTCATCGAACTTGACGTAGATACCCTGGTTCTTGCTGACGCTACCGTCAAGGTCTGTGTACGAGAAGTCGTCTGCCTCGGTGACCTTGCGGCCAGCGATGGTTGAACCAACAAACTCGTCCTTCTTGGTGGTGATGAGCTCCTTCATGTGGCTCGTGACCTTGTTGGCACCCTCGGTCTCGCAGCCTTCGTAGTCGTATCGGGTGAAGAAGGTACGTCCGTAAGTCTTCCAGAAGTCCTTCTGGACTGAAGCAATGCTGGGTGTGGTACCACTCTTCTGTCCAACGCCAGCCAGGATGTTCAGCCAAGCGACAACAGCCCACAGACCGTCCTTCTCACGGATGTGGTTGCTACCGGTTCCGAAACTCTCCTCACCGCAGATATTCATCTTGTTGGAATCAAAAAGACCGCAGAAGAACTTCCAGCCAGTGGGCACCTCGTAGCACTCGACGCCCTTGGCCTTAGCGACAAGGTCAATCGCACCAGATGTGGGCATGCTACGGGCAAGACCGTAGATACCCTGCTTCTTGAAGTATGGAATGAGCTCTGCGTGGTGGGCAATGATAGCCAGACTATCACCAGGGGAGACAAATGACTTGGCGCCGTAGATCATGTTTCGGTCACCGTCACCGTCACTGGCAGCACCAAAGTGAATTCCATTCTTGTCAACGGCATCGACCAGCGACTTGGCGTAGACGAGGTTAGGATCGGGGTGGTGACCACCAAAGTCTGGCTTGGGGACGCAGTTCTGTGTGCTGTTGGGGATACCGAGCTCCTTCTCGAAGATGTCGACTCCGTAAGAGCCAGTAACACCGCTCAGACCATCAAAGAGAACCTTGAAGTCAGGGTGCTGCTTGAGGAAAGACTTGATGAGATCGAAGTCGAAGATGTCCTTGAGCATCTTGAGGTAGTCCTCAGTGGAGTGGACAATCTCAACCTCGAGCTCTCCATACTTTTGTGTGCCGATGGTGCTGAGGTCGATATCAGGAATGTCGGCGATCTTGTATGAGGTGAGTGTCTTGGAGGTTTCGTAGATCTTATTGGTGACGCTCTCGGGAGCGGGAGCACCGTTGGCCAAGTTGTACTTGATGCCAAAGTCCTCCTCGGGGCCTGAGAGGTGTTAGGTTCTGAAGCGAAACTACATGAGACGGGAGGGGCAGTCACTTACCACCGGGGTTGTGGCTGGCAGTCAGCAGGATACCACCTGTCGCCTTGCGAATTCGGATGAGATGACTGGCAGCGGGTGTGCTCATGATTCCATTATGGCCGATCAAGAGCTTCTTGACGCCATAGGCAGCACCAATCTTAGCAATGGCCTGAGTGACCTCAGGGTTCCAGTAACGGCCATCACCACCAACAACGAGGAACGAGCCCTCGACGCCTTCGGGAATGGACAGGAGAATACTGGTAACAAAGGCCTCCGAGTAGTGTTCCTGCTGGAAGACCTTGACCTTCTTGCGGAGACCAGAACTATAGTGTCGTGGTTAGCTGCTTGTCATGTACTACGGAGCTTTCTCTATGGAGTGAGCTAAGCTTGGAGTTGCAACTTACGTTCCGGGCTTCTGGTCCTGGAAAGGCTTCAATTCGACAGTTCGGATGCTCATGATGGACGTGTGAGTGTTTGCTTGAAACAATGCAAAGAAAGATCAAAGCAATTGAGAGGAATGTTGGGGCGTGGCAGCAGCGGGCAACTTTTAGGCTGGGGAGAGGGGCAGCTCCTGCTTCCCCCCACCTCGCGGGATGACGCCGGAGCTAGCTCATCCTAGAGAAAGACAACGCCACGCTCGACTATCTTCACCAGATTTTCTCTTGTCCATTCCCAACAGCCGCTGCCCGCACGCGCTAGAGCTGCATTCAAGGTCGGGACGCCTCTTGTGTGCCTCGACAAGCTCCTTTGCCTCCCGGACTGAGGCCAGAAAAAAAAAGTCTGATCGCAGAGCCCTCAACACCCACCTGCATCACCCGATACTCCACCCTGTCGAAACCGGGTTCTGCACAGCCGCCTAGTTGCCCCAGACAACATGGGCATTCAGGGACTCGCTAGACGTCTGGAGCCATACGCCACGCGCTTTTCCTCCGACCAGCTCGACGGCTATTCGGCCGTGGTCGATGGGCCCGCACTCGCCTATCATGCTCACAAACTGGCTCTCGCAACTTCGGTTAGCGCCTCGCGAATGCCCTCTTATTCAGACATCGTCTCCCAGGCTCTTTGCTGGTTAACTGCTCTGGAAGCCAACAACATCAAGGTGTGAGTGAACCGTCGTTGCTTTTCGTCGCCTTGCCGATGTGCACACCAAAATCGACATTCCACCCCATGGAACTTCGCTGCAAAACCAATAAGGTGTGCACAAATGTCGCCTCATTCACCGCTCTTCGCACAGGGGTTTGGTCGGCATTCCAACATTTGCATTGTCAAATGTCCGCCAGGCCAGCGGTGTACCCTCGGGTGCAACGGATCTCCACATCTTTTGTGCTGGAACTTATGCCAATGATTGACCCACGACTTCCATCGCTGATTGCGCTTCGCCAGGGTCGCCATCTTCTTCGACGGAGCGCTGCCTCCATCAAAGCGGACTGAGAGGCTGTCAAGGACCGAACAAAACAATAGGCGTGTGCAGCAGCTCCGTGCAAATTATTCAACGACTGCATGCCCAGTACCCACGTACCTAGGTTCGATATCTTATGCCTTCCTTGCTCCAGCGTTGCAAGAAGCGTTACAAAATTCACCCTTTGCCTCGAGGACGCACATCGTACCTGGAGAAGCAGACGACTGGTGTGCATTACATGCTAAAGAGAATGCCAAATCCATCATCTTCACCAGCGATACAGATCTCATCCTTTACGATTATTGCATAGACACGCTGATAGTATTTCTACATGATGCTGACGTATCTACTGGCATCAAAGCATATTGGCCCGATGAGATCCAAAAGAAGCTGCAGTTGAAAAGCCTGTTACCGTTTGCCTTTGCTCTTCTGCAAGGCCCTCAGGATACCGCCAATGATCTGGTCCGCAATGCCAAGAGCGTGGATAAAGGCTCTATACCATACCTAGACTTTACCAAAAGGTATATCGCCGAAGTTGTTCCCCCGCTATACAAATCCGACTCAAACCGCACCTTTTCCAGTCTGCCTGATCTGGACGTTCGGGTGTCAGAGTTCGTGCACCAAGCTCTGGAACATTCTGATAGCCCATTTGTTTACATGCCTCTACTGATGGAAGACCCAAGCCAAGCATCTGCATGGAATATGGGCTGCGATGTCCGCGCAATGGCTTACTCGTTACTAGCATCGGAAAGAATGGTTGTCCACGAATATAGGCGAAAAGCGCAGGTCGTCACTGTACAAGAAGTTGTTACATATCCTCTAAAAGATCTGCCAACACCAATCACAGACCTCGAGCGACAGATTCGCACCCTGATGGACTGGGCTACTTTTAGAAAGCTTCAACCCATGCTACTTTGGCCACTTTTTGCGCTCAGCCTGGTACTCGCTGAGTTGAACAGCGCCCCTGCAATTCCTCTGGTACTTCGGGTGATCAACGGCGACTTTGACAATACCTGGTCTTTCGTACAGTTGATGGCTCGCCTACAGTCTGCATTATACTCACTGCGCATGTTCAGTCAAATCGTGAGAGTATGGCTTGTAGTCAAACCAAAGGCAGATCAAAGGTTACGTGATTCCCTACTAAGCTTGGATGAACGTATGCGTACTCTTCCGTCGATACCTGAAGGATTTGGAGTACCGGGACAGACCAAGCGCGTATTAGCAAACCACGACGAGTTGCGGGGTTTGGTTGAAGAGATCTATGTCTCTGCTGGCGTTGAGGTACCCACTGAGAACGTTTCGAACAAGAAGAAGAAGCGCCAGTTGAGAGAAGCGGATAGAAAAAAGAGGAAGGCTGAGCAGAGACAACAATCTAAACAAGAGATCACCAATGCATATGCTGCGCTAAGTAGTGATCAGAGCTAGAGCTAGGGGAAGATAGAGAAGATGGCAAGAATATACAGCTTTTCTCGTGTGCATGATACAAATATTGTTATCAAGTGGCATTGAGATTTGTATTATGTATTAGCATTCTGACTATTAGTACATATGGCCCCTCATGGCATTCACTTTCCCCATTATTGTACATGAATATCGATCACCGCTCCGTCGCATTCAACGGGCCCCATGCACGACGGCGGTGGTGTGGATCGGATACTAGGATCAGGGTTGTCGAGCGATTACAACAGCATCCAGTAACCCGGGTCTTCTGGTTCATCAACGCCCCGTAATTCGAATGGCAAGGGAAAGAAGACAAGCTTGATTGATTTCCGGAAATTGACCAGGCGGGCACAGATCCGCTTATGATGGATGCAGTTTCCACACGCTGTCATGTTACTGATCATGGCATTCTCATCCAGGAAAAATTCTTCTTCCTCATTGAGAGCCCGGCCGACGCACCCTGGCTTGCTGAGGTGGCGTTGTGGACTCGTTAACATATCTTTCCATGTGTCGATGTGGTCTGATTCAGAGAGATATTCAATATCGAAGTGTTCGGCGATGAGGTTGGTTACAGGGTTCTTGGCATCATCAAGAGCTAGCTTGAAGTAGCGCTTCACGTCGGGATCCCAGTACAAAACTGCAGTGACTTATACCGGCTTTCCGGCTATCTGTTCGGGGTTCCATGTGCGAAGTGAAGGCGCCGTGTTTTCTATTGCCACCAAGAGGTTGTTAGCTGTGATGGTGGGATATCCGAGCCTAGATCACGTACCATCTTCATGTTTTGCACGTTTTGTACTTGTAGTCTCTTCGATGGTGGAAGGGGATCGCTCGCTAGCGAGTCGCTTTCGCGTCGGCAGAGGACTTTTATCTTTTGTCGTCTCTTTGGATACGTTCGAGACGAGGCCAGTGTTGTCAGCCGTCTGTGTACCTTCTTTTTGTTCTCTGTTAGTAAGTGTTCTGTCCTTCAGTGCAAGGCCTTCGTTTACCTGACGTATAATTGGCCTCGATCTCCTTTTCACCTGTTGTGACTGCTGTGTCATTTTTCGTAGCGAGGCCGTGAAGGGCATCATTCTGGGCATCACGCCTTGCAAGGACATCTAGCATCATGCGTGCGATCTCTTCTATATCACCTCGCGGCTTGTCTCGGCTGATCATTTGCGCGACTAACTCAGCCAGTTCGTTATCGGGCAAACCTCTCGGAAGGCTTTCGCGAGCACGTGCCAGAAGGCTCTCCTTAGAAAGAAGAAGTAGGGCTTTGAGGTTCGTGTCGTCTGGTACAGACATTGTGAGTGATAGGTATGAGGTAAGTCAGAAGACAGGTAACGAGAAGTGGCCTGAGTAGCCGAGAAGTGATATTTATCCTCTTGGGAATCAAAATAACAGAGCTCAAATGCGTTTGTCTTACATAAGCATAGAGCAAACAGGTGAGTCCTTGGCAGTGAAAGCATTCATTTCGCCACCCGAAGTTCGTGAACTGGATGAACCAGGGTGGGGATCGTTGCTATGCAAAATCTGGACGAGTAAAGTTCGAATAGAAGTGTTACGTGAAGTTGGTTCGGTGGTTCAGTCTCGAGGCAACTGCTGATACCAGGTAGGTGATAAGACACTATACTCCTTTGGGTGAGTTGGTTGAAGGAAAGAGCCATCCTGCTGGCAGTCTTGATGAGGCCAAACTGTCGCTCTCATAAACACAATTCATGTTGGTATGCAAGCAAAAACGGTGACATGCTGCAAACTTGGAAAGGTCAGAGAATGACACCATTTCACAAGCAAAAGCAAATCCTCGACAGGTAAATCAAAGACACAAAGACACAAGACTGGAAGAATAAAAATCCTCCTAATCAATACTAATACCGCCACACTGACCAGCTCGTCCCGATTCTCTGTATTCACATCACCTGCACCAAATCCCTAATAGCCCCGACCTTCGGCATCATAGGCCTTGTAAGGAGAACCGTTGATGACAACATCTCCAGTGATCCTATCGACATCATACCAACCATTCTGAGCTTGCTTCTTGCAGTTCTCCCACCAATCAGCACCATTCAACCCATCACTAGTATAGGCGATGCACTTTAAACATGTTAGCTACGTTCATTTCGAAAAGAAAATGGAGAAGGATCTTACTCTGCCGCGTCCAATGCTGTATTTCGCCTGCATCTCATTAGCACTGTTGCGTACTTCAAAAACAAGTTAGGTCACGCTAATACACACCACAGAGGAAGCGTAATTGTTGTTACAGGCTTGTGCAGTAAGTTGCCAGTCGTAGTGGAGATTATGGTTCGTATCAAGCAGCTGGCCATCCTTGTATACGTATCCCACATAGCAGTCAAGCTGCATCCAGTTGCCGGAAGGAATCTCGGCCTGCACGGACGGCAGGAGGGCTAAGACAGCTGCGAAAAGGGTGGTGGCGAAGTGCATGGTGATTGAGTTTTGTGGAAGCGTGCCGAAGCGAGCAAAGATGTTAGTAGTGAGAGAGGTGGTGGTGGTAAGTTGATGAAGATTTCGACTGGGGATCGTGAGCCAGCTTTATATGGTTGACTTTGATCGATCAATTACATAATAGACGTCAATATATGCCGATATCCTTCATAAAGCTCCTCTAAAACATTACCCTATTTCGGCGGACTCGAGGTCACAGACGCTCTGTTGGCCAAAACAACCCCGGTGTGTTTCTCAAAGTCCATAGATTTCGGCAGACAGCGTAAGCGGCAGTAAGATTATAGTACAGCATGCTGAATCAACCGCTCGTATAATGATTTCACCGGCCAAGAAAGTGAAGATTAAGTCATGATGTGTTTCCGATGCTGCAATGAGATCGCTTTTGGGTAATCCCAACCTTACCAGTCCTACGATCCCGTATAACATTGAATGAGTTTATATGAAGAGTTTATTCGGTTTAATTATCTATCACAGCTTGTAATATTGCACACACTTGTGCAATGATACTCCCAATAAATAGAGGAGGTCTTAGATTCTGAGCAGGAAGACATTATAGTGCAAAACGTAATTGGGTGCTTTTGTCACAACACCACCGTCATTGCCTATCTTATTGCACATCTGGCAGATTATTTACTAATCACGGACCATGGTATTACGTCGGAAACATCCTTTTAGCAGGCCAAGAGATGTTTGTATAGTTCTAGAAGAAATACTGGGGCGGTGCTACCATCATTGGAGAGAACACCAGCACACCATAAGTAAAGTTTGGCTATAAGGTCGGACCGAATGTTTTGAAATTATTTTCCTCGCATATTACGTCTACAATTCTCCTAAACAGGCAGTTATGGTGTACATCAGGTAAGCCCGGAAATCGGCGTTTATTGTGGGTCTAAACTACACAAGAACTGAACTTCGTAAGCACTACTATAACAATTTTACTAATGATGATGCCACTTATATTGAACTCCAAGAAAGTTCCTGAAAGTCTTTTAGCAACAAAAACCCACTCTAGATATGACCATACTACTTTTAGTCATGATCTACAGATAATTTTAGTGCGTCCAGTATGCATTGATGCGCATTTTAGAGCTTCTGTCTATCAGATCGAGTTATGGAAACTAACTGAACACGAATAAGTGCCGAAGAAGGCACGATACAGCTTCGATGCTCACCCAAGTGCTTATGATCAGCCTCATTTATTGTCCACTGCTCCATAAAAATTTACCAGGTTCAGCATATAAGTACTTAACAACCCTGATCTATCATTTTTGCTATAAGAATCTCAGCAGAATCACTATCCATCGTTTCGGCTCGCTGTTAAAGTCATTATGCATTTTCTTCATCATATTCTGGTCTTGCTTTCCAGCCTAGCACTCCTCGCCCAATGTGTACCAATTGAGGATGCGTCTCCTATGCCTATCAAGGATCTAGAGTCACGTCAATCAGGATTTACATGCTTTTCCGGCCTTTTCCGCGGACGCACCCTCGAGGCTGGGCTTCCACCAGTCTACATCAACATCACCCCTAACCTGAACGTCTATCGCAATGTTGACGATATTCCTTGGACCAACGGAGGCAACGTTCGAAACCATAGATGGCGATGGAGGGCGGGAATTGTTGGTGGAGATCCTACAGTCCAAGTCCAAGTGTATGGTTACGTTGGTGCTCATGTGGAGTTGCGTGCAACAGCTCCGCGATCCGATAATCCTAGGCGTCCAGCAATTGAATTGACACCGAATGAGAATGTCAATGGCGGTCAGGGTAATGGCTGGGGAGAAGCTGTATGTCTCAGTGTGATGAATATTCCACGACCTGATATGACTTACACTCTCTTTGTTCGACTTGGTATGTAGATCACAGATACGGTCATCATATCTGCTGACCAAGTTTAGGAAATATGTACAGATGATTCCAAATATGGATGGGTCTCTTCTTCCACAATATCACTACGCACTGGAAGAAAGAGGCATGACAAGGAGAATCATCTGCATACAGTGATTCGGATCATCCACAACTTAGTCAGGCATAACGCGTCCAAACTCCATGTTTCTGTATTGCCATTATTCAATCAATTATTCCTTTAAATATTAACATGATCGACTGACGATGAAACCCTCACCAACCCAAGTTTGGCTGTGCAACAAAATCATACACAAATACCTGCTCTAGCAACGGATCTGTTTCCTCCTACATTATTGATCAGCTCCATGAAACATGCAAATACAAACAGGGAAAAGCCGTGTAGGTCAAGAAGACTTACCTTCAACTTATCATGCCCAGGATCGAGATCAAACTTTTGCCTCGCAGCCTCGTCCTACAACTCATCAGTCTTCTCTATTTTCCCACAACCATCCATGTTCGCCGACTCTTTCCCTCTTCAATCCAATACACCACACACGAAACAAAGTAAAATTGACTTACCTTGAAAACAACCACAAACCCTGTATCCCAGACACTCTCCCTCTTCACATTGGTCAAATTGAGTGGCGTATTCAACGGCCTGCCTCCCTTCGGTCCTTCGACCAGCAACTCAGGATACTCAGCATAAAGCGCCAGAAAAGCTGCAGTGCGGTCGCCCTTCTGCGCCGGCGTTACTTCGTCGCGGAACCGAAACGTTGCGATACGTGTTACAGGCGATGAGTCAGACGCACTCTGGGTTGCCATGGCTGTGGATATTAGGAGCGAAGGTAGAAGGAGGAGGCGGAAAGATGGAATGATGGAACGCATTTGCGAGGTGAGGTACCAGGTAGAGAGAGGAAAGTCGTGGCCTTGTGTGATATCTTATGCATGCGTATGCATGGAGCGGAGTGGGGTGGTTGGGAGATGCGTGTTCACTTGCATGCATAGCAAATGCGGCAGCGGCCAAGCGAGCGGAGAGCCGATACGACTACTTTCACACGGCACGCAATCAAAACAGATGTTGACGAAGATCAATCCCATGAGTCCAACTTCCAAATTGTAGCTTGCAATAATCTTTTATAATTCCAAAAAATCACCTTTGTTTCACAATATACCACCAATGATTTTTATAGGTGACCTCGTTCGGCTTATGCGGACACACTCCGAGCGAAGGAGACATGCCCTTCCACTTGTTTACTTCAGCTTCCTTCACAAATTCCGCCCCTAGAACCTTCCAGCATCACATTTCTCCCTCAATTTCAAATTATCTAGCCGCAGTAAAGAGTATTGGATGCGGAGCATGTGCAAGATACCCGATGGTTGGGATGCAGCTCATTTGTTCGTCTACCGAAAATCCAGATTGGAATGCTGCTGCTAGATCTGGATTCCTGTAGAGTTTGGTAGTGACGTATTCCTGGTATGGACCTCTCCAGGTGGTAATGGAAATTGAACGTCCCGCCTTGGTATACATGGCGCAGCACCGAAGTCTGGGTGGCGTCTGGTTTACTACATTCAAGCCCACGAATGGTAATTGGAGTGCTTTCAGCGATGGAAGAAGATGCAATAGCTTCTTAAATGCAAAAAGGGCGTCAAACTCTTTTTTAGCTGCACCTATAATGTGAAGGTTGATCGAACGCCGAGTGCCGTTATCGGGTATCGTCGCTTCCAAAGCAGCAATTAAGGTGAGTTGGATAGTTGTCTCATTGGTACCGATTCTCATATGCTCGACGAATGCTCGTTCTCTGGGGTCGTTTGTCTGGTATCTCAAATCTCGATTCATTTTAGAGCTGAGGCTACCCTTGTCTGAGAGTCTCATGTACTAGTCATACCAGTCCGTTGCAGAAGAGAGAAGACAATGTTGCTTTCAGGGAAACTTGGAGAAAGCAACGGTCGAGCTGTTTCCAGTTCGTCAGTAGAGAGCTACCGAAATCTTCACATCAGCTGCAACATCTTGCAAGGTCGTACACTCCGCGGATGGATGTGTTTGTTGGCAAGAGGTGCAGAATGAGGTAAGATGGCAGTATCGGCATGTATTCAACTTCGCACCATCTTCAAGTTGAGACTCTCTTCTATAACAGTGATAGCAATATGGTTCGTAGCTAACTATAGGTGTTAGCTTAATGACGAACAAAATGGTCATAGTTTGTTGGCAGTCAGTTCTCATACATTCCCAACTGATGTTCCAACTTCACAAGGGTCCAGAGTACCGAGTTTTGAGAGCTTCTAGCTCCTATAAATGTCTCAGAATCTATTCATTCGTCTTGCCAAGTGAGCCGAACGACATACCTGCTCACAATAGTACTCATTCCAATGCCTGCCAGCTAAAGGCACATATCCTTTTTGCTTGTTTCAAGCAACAAGCACCTTGCAGATTTGCTTGTGATTTCTGTTCCAGTCTTGCTTTTGACATTTTGCTCAGCAGTATGAGACTCTTTGGCAAGCGTTGCATCGCTTGAGATTGGACGTTGTGTCTCAGCAGTAGAAGCATAGAGCTTGTTTCAATGCCAAAGTTGGGGTTCGTCGCCAATATGATTCTGAATCTGGTTGAGGATCTTGGGAAGCCATTCTTAGGTTGCGGTGAAAATGTTCAATCTTGCGACACGTCCGCAGAAACGACCCCCGCCTCTTGTGTAACTGAGATAGCCGGATAAAAGGTGGTCCGACCACAACTCCATATCGCCAACACCACGCACTACTTAACTACAAAAACTCAGTAAACAAACATTGTTATAGTAGGTAAATCTCTAGCACTTTTGTGTATTTGATTGCGCTATCTATAGTAACCTTTGCTGTGACTTGGGCTGATAGTTGGAGTGGATTTATCCGGCTATTTTCGCTCCCCAACAGCCCGCACTTTGCGTCTCTTACTCAGCCAATAGGCTCGCTTATATACTTTTCCTCGAACTCGAAAACCCAATTCATTTCCTTTTCAAAGCTCGTTGCTCAAGGCTACTGCATTTGTAACTAGGCAGTTATAGTAGCTACGGAATTGTAATTTAACCTTGCGAGAGGCAGACTTGTCAAAGAGAAGATATATGGTAATTTTAGAAACAAATTGAAGGTATCAAAATCGTGTGCTTCTTCGACATCCAAATCTACCCAAATACATTCTATTCTGATTATGCAAGAGTTTTGGTAGGTATCTGCTCTCAGAATCTACACATAGCTGGATAGATGGATTACGCTATGTGAGTTCATTGTCACGATATAGTGTACAGTACTGCGTCATGCAAGATAGACAGATAGGCTGAAATCAGCATGCCAAGATGCATAAGCTATACTCTGAATGTAAAGTAATTACCTAATATGTCCCCCTAGGTCATGCAAATCCCCAGTTAGTTGCAGAACTTACTTTGTAGGTGCGGGTCCGAGCACTTGGATTCTGTACGTAGCGAATCAGAGCGCGGCACGACTATGGGCATCCCTGCAGTGCACGGACTGTGTAAGCCGTCACCCCACTTTTGCCCGACACCGTCGTATGGTAGCTCCGTCTTAGTAGACATATTGCTTTATACTAAGATCTCCACTACCGATCAGCATGAAGGATATAAGCCGTAATCCCTTCCCCGACTTCTATCACCCTCTCGCCCCTAAGTTCATCCGCGTCTTTGAGCTTGATGCCGGCGAATTCTCGGACCCCATAGCCGGGCGGCTGGTGCCGCAGGCGATGGACACTGAGCCGTACGAGGCCATATCATACGTTTGGGGTGACCCAAAAAAGCGGCGCGACATCACCATCGATGGAGCGACGCTGTCTGTGACAGAGAACCTGCATGGGGCGCTGACAGCCTACCGACACCGACCGGTTGCTGGGAGCAGCGAAGTGCTAGATGTGGGCAAGGCACCAGCGCAAAGACAACCAGTACGGCGGTTATGGGTCGACGCAGTGTGTATAAACCAGGAGGACTTGGAAGAACGTCTCTCCCAAGTCAAACTCATGTCGTTTATCTATGCCGGCGCGAGCCGTGTCCTTTCGTGGCTCGGCTGGGAAACGAGCGAGGTTGGCCGCTTCCTAATCCAGGACGCCATCCGCTTCATACACGATTTCATGAAAGACCCAGAGGCTGGTCTCTGCGACGCGCGCATCCTTCTTCAGCACGACTACCTAGCTGACCCCTCGGCGGACGTCGCTCACTTATCCGAAGACGACCGGCGCCGATTTGAGGAGCAGGCATACAAGTGGGAGGCTGTCAGATTTTTCTTCGAGATTGAATACTTCCACCGAGCGTGGATTGTGCAGGAGCTTGGCCTCGCCCGCCAGGCTCTCTTGATCACGGCCCTGAAGCCCGCCGACGACGGTGCCAAAGCTGATAAGGAGAACTCTCCTGGCCATGCAACTACTGTCGAGGACGGAAACTGGGCCCTAGATGTCGACACTATCGACTGGGGACTAACGGGCCGCTTCGTCGAGTTCTTGGATTACAGCGGTGCCTCGCTCGTGACACATCTCAGTCTATCGTCGTGGGTCGCCCATCACATCGTGATGGTCTGGGCTACTAAGGAAGATGACACGCCCAAGTGTGACTTTCTGACTGCTATGCACTGGACGCGCATATTGGGCGTAAGTGACCCACGTGACCGTATCTTCAGTCTACTTGGTCACCCTATGGCCATCCTTGGCGGCGAGCCTGTAATTCAACCTGACTACACGCGTACGCGTGGGGTCATATATACGAGGCTAGCCGTCAACTTCATCCAAAAGACGAAGAATCTGCACGTGGTCAGCTTTGTCGACCACGAGAATGGCCCTTCCCTGGAGGAATCGGATTGGGACCCGCAGCACGAAGCTAGGATGCCCAGCTGGGTGCCTGACTGGCATAGCATTAACCGTACCACACCGATCGACTACCCGATAGCTGCGACCGCCACTGAGGATGACGAGATCTGTTTCGAGGGTGGACTTGATTGTGAGAATGGGACATTGCTCCCACACCTTCTGGTACGAGGTTGGGTGATCGACGAGATCTCAACTGTTTCGCGCCGCATGGAAACGACAGACTTCCCAATCACACACTTGGCACGAGAACGGACAAAGCAAAACCCTTTCTGGCTCGATCACGTGTGGGAGCTGATCTACCCTATTGAACAGCCAAACAACACATTCACAAGCCCTGGTTGCGACGCGCTGGCCGTGTTGGACTCACTCTCAATGGCCCTCTCGCTCGGCATGCGGGAAGAGGATGATCCAAACAGCGATATAGGGTCGAGTCAGACAATAGAAGAACACCGTCGATCGTTTGCCGCCTACATTCTCGAGTATCACGAGCTGCTTCGCGGCGCATTGTCTGAAGCCGGTGATGTTAATGATGACGACAAGAGCTATCTGCCTGTTCGCTCACTCTTCGACAGCCTGCCGGCCGAGGCGCAAATTGAGCTGCGACGACGCGCAGAAGGAGCCACCGCGGGCGGATTCCTCGAGTGCATGACGTGGCCATCAATGTGCCGTATCGTGTACCGTACGGCATCGGGTCTCGTAGGCATGGGCTCGCGCGTCACGCGGCCAGGGGACCTGGTTTGCCGAGTCAGAGGCTCGGCCGTGCCGATGACGTTGCGGAGGACCAATGATTCCAACGCCAGTGAGGTAACTGGGATGGCAACTAACACCGAGCCGGTTATGTCACTTCGTTGCGTTCATATTGGACCTACTGTTGTACCGGCTCGTATGAAGCGGGGCGTCACTGATGGCGCAGAGTTTGGTGAAAAGGCTGCAAATTTTCGAATCATATAATTGAGCCATCTTGGCTATGTAGGCTGTTTGAGAGGTACATATTGATTTTGCTGAGCTGGATGTTTTCTTACTATTGGTCATGTATATTTTTACTTATTTAATTGTTAATAGTTGTTGTGTTGACTGAGTTGGGATATATGAAGTGGCTTGATATAATGTTTGATGTGAAAGAGCGTCAGGAACGACTTCGTACTTTGGTAAGAAACACTCTAGCTATCGAACACGCAATTGTAGTTGATGCTTCTACCTAGCACCAGATTAGAACTTGCAAACAACCGTAGAGCCATTTCTTATAGAGCTTCACTGAGAGTATTTACCCCTAACAGCACCTGTGATCTGACTACAGCAACCATCCCCAGCCTCTTTCTTCGATGGAGCCCGCCGTACCCGCATACACAGCAACCAGCGTGACACCCAGCCCCTCCATTACAATTATTTCTCGCAAATGTCGTGCAGTCAAATTCATTGTTACAATTTGCACATTGCTAGCAAAGGTTTTACGCCATTAGCTTCGTCGAATACAGCTCGGGAAAACAAGTTCTTCTAAACATACTGCAGCTGCAGTGGCTAGCAAGGTGAAGAGAACGGGAAGGAGGCTTTTGTAGAGCTTCATGCTGGGAAATGTATTGCAAAGCGTGTAGTTTGTAGGCTGTGATATGTGATGTGTGATGTAGATGTGTCAGTTTTAAGTAGGAAAAGAGTCTTGACTATGTTCCCTTCCCTATTTCTAGAAGATGGGGAGGAGGCAGCAGCGGCCTTTATATACGCAGTGCACATATGGCCGAAAAACTAGTCTCTCCACTGTGCTTGTATCGGCTGTTCTCCGGCTGACAAGTATTTAGAGTTTTTAATTCTAAATGAGGGCTACTTCTCCGTGAAGGTTTATCTTTACGTCATAGATATTATATCAATTAGTGATAAACACGCTTATGTTTTGCCTTAAAGATAGTTCTCAAAGACCACGCGCCCTTGAAGTATTGCTGACTCGATTACATAAGATCAGAGATTCGGCTTTACTGGTGATAGTTATAGTAATATCCGACTTCATTGCTGACAACCTTTTATCGTACGTGTAGGTACGGGGTTGTGTGTTGATATCATAGTGTGTATTCTCCATCGCTATGAACTATCCACGGTATTCATTTATCAGTAGTGTATAGCTACTGCTTTTTCTTGCTAAAGTAGTGCATCCTTGTTGCTGCTACAGTGACTTGTTGCTTTGAGTCAGCTAAAGTCTTTGATTCATGTAGTCTGACATAGGCTGCTAGAAGAAACCTCAAAGTAACCCGGACAGGCCTCCGAAAGAAAAAATTTCCCGTCTCACCATACGTCACGGCACGTAGTTGTGAATCATATAACTCTATTGCACTTAGAATTAACTTTAGTATAGCACTGTCTCCAGTCCAGCTCTTTATATTTTTAAAAAGTTTGTCGGCAGTTAGCTCAGATGTTGCCATATTGCCGGTGAAGCCAGCATCGACAACGATAGATAGCATAGAGCATTCTGTGTAAAGTGCGTCATATCGACTTCGGTTGACGTTCCAGCTATGTTAGAAGGATGGTTCATCTCGATTCTAAAAATGTCGTGAGTAGCGGTTGTGCTTGTGGTTCATGTTTCCATTCGCGACTTAGATGGCTCAAGGGATGACGCAAAGCTCCTCACTAGAGTGCAGGGAAGAACTGCGATACACGCTCCAGAGGATTTAGCTTGAACCTTAGCTACGTCGATGTGAAATATGTGATGATTGGTAGATCAATCTGCCGACCTGTATCCACCAAATATCACCTCCGATGCTGTATCAGAATCTCACAAACACCATCCAAACTGTTCTTCCTTGTTTCATTATGCTTGGGAAAACACGCTCGCTCCGAGTTGCCAGGCGAGTTCTTATAATATGCTAAGCGCGCCTGCGTCTTGAGAGCCGCAGTACACATCGATAACGCACGAAAGAGCAAAGCTAAACGCTCTCATTTCGACGAATTCAGATCCACGTCGCTGTTACCTTCTTACCCGTAGCCGTAGCCTAACGATAGGCTCTAGTCACCACCCTGTCCATATTACCAAGGAGAACTTCGTGTCTTTCGAAATGGCGCATTCTTCGACTATGCCATCGCAATGCACGGCATCCCTCTCACAAAACACCAGTAGTGTCAATATCGACATCTTTATAGGTACATTAGCGTGATTTAGATAAACATGACACAATGCAATACGAGATAGAGGTGATTCATTCGGCAGCACTCAGATCTGGATGCGCTACTAGCCCTTAGTTGAGCCGCTATTGGCGCTGAAATTACCTAACACAGCTAGCTTATTAGAAGTAGTAACGTACATCCCTTCGTACCGGAACAACCGGTGTACCGGAACACTTTTCTCCGAGTAAGCAGATAAGAGGCAGAAAAACTTGTTGAAAGATATTCACGAACTTTTATCGTTTGTGCTCGTATACATTCTATAGATTACTAATACTCGAATAGAAAAATACGTAGTGGTGCGGCCGTAGGTCGTTAATACGCTGGCGGCAATATTTTGTGCCTTCGCTAGCATCTCAGCCTACGCAATTATTTTACTCTAGATTTCCTTATCAGATATATCAAGTAACTCTCTAGGTATAATAGTCTTAATTCCTTCTCTTAACATACTAGATAACGATCTGTAGTAGCAATAAGAAAATTTCTCCGTTAAGGAAGCGATTAGTACAATTAGCCACGAGGGTTTAACGTAACGGACCTAGCTTTATTATCTGTAATAAATGTTTACGTAAACTTTCTTGAAGTCAATTATATGACTTTTTTTCTAGCACTTTCTATTAGTCTTTATTCTATTATTAGCATAAACGTGAGAAACATCTACGACTAGGATATGCACTTAATATAAGACGCTGTGATATTTACTAAAGTAACTATAGACCCTACTAGTAAGGAATTAGTCCTAGAGTTGCCTCGTAACGTGCGTAACATCATCTCTGCTAGAGCTAGACATAGTAACGTTCCTCGCACTATTGTTCATTATCAGCATTGAGGTCGACCTTCGAAGGAGGCCAAAACTAAGAGCCAGCAATACCTAAGTCCCGCTAAGGAGAAAGCGTTAATTTCCTATTAAGAATGAGCGCTAGTATATCCCAATCCGTATCAAGTATATGCCTTCGCTCGCCTTCTGCATTGCCCGCCGACAAGTGTCCAATCGACCCGCTAAACCACCACCCTAGAACTACCCTCAAGCCTTCTATCTCCTTCATCTAGAGATTGAATCAGGAAATAACAAAGCAATAACTACTAGTCCATTTGCCTCGTCTCTGACATGCAACCCTTTGGCGCTACACTGTGCTTATTCTAAGCTGCAGATAGACTTTAGCTATTGCTTGCACGAGTATAGGATAGAAAGTGAACGCATTATTGATCGCATGTAGAAGACACATGTGCCTTGCAGGAAGGTCCACAATGATAGCATAGCGAGGACAGTACAGATTCCCAAGCAGCAGGCAGTTACGAGGCTAGGGGTCAGGCATATCGATGCACGACTGGCCAATAATCGGGCGACCTTTGCCGCGCGCCCACAGCCATGTCCACGGCATGGAGTTAGCGCTCGTCCACACCTCAATCAGCCTGCATCTCAGCCTGCTGACATGCTGTGGCATGCAGGCCACTGTGTAGGCCGCAAGGCTGAGCAGCAGCAAACATTGCCGCCAGGCCAACAGACTACCTCTTCACAAACACCCACTTTCTCTCTACCAGAAGTGCTCACAACAGCCTCTCTGTGTTCCTAACTTACTGATAGCAACTCATGGCGCGCCAGCTGCGCCGCGAAGACTACACGGTAGGCTGGGTGTGCGCCCTGCCCGTCGAGCTGGCGGCTGCGCAGGAGATGCTCGACGAAGAGCACGACATGCCTCCGTCCAGCACCCATGACACTAACATCTACACCTGCGGTCGAGTTGGTAAGCATAACGTCGTTATTGCATGTCTGCCCGAAGGACAAATGGGCACCCACTCAGCTGCCGCGGTCGCTGTGTAAATGAAGCTGGCATTCACATCCACGCGCTTTGCGCTGATGGTAGGCGTTGGAGGAGGCGTGCCTAGCAAGGATGCAGATATTAGGCTTGGAGATGTCGTGGTTAGCAAGCCGCATCAAGTGCATGGCGGAGTGGTGCAGTACGATTCTGGCAAGGTTACACCGAGCGGGTTTGAGCGCACGGGGTGGCTTGACGCTCCGCCGCCAGTCCTACTTCACGCGGTCACAAACCTGAAGGCCAGTCATATGAGGGGAAAATACAGACTGTCTGAGTATCTCTCTAAGCTAGACAGCCTGCCAGGCTTCACGCGAGAAGCTGCCGGATACTCTCTTTGCCGCGACGTACGACCATGAGGGAGGAGCAACATGTAAGCATTGCGACAAAAGCCATCTAGCAGATCGGGAGCCGCGAGAGCAAGAGGTGTTAGTGCATTACGGCACGATCGCATCGGGCAACCAAGTCATAAGGAATGCGGCGGAACGAGACAGGATCAGCGCAGAGCTGGGCGGCGTGCTTTGCTTCGAGATGGAAGCGGCTGGGCTTATGAACAGCTTTCCGTATCTGGTGATCCGCGGCATCTCCGACTACGCGGACTCGCACAAGAGCAAGCGGTGGCAGCCATATGCGGCGGCGACAGCGGCAGCGTGCGCCCAGGCAATGCTGTCTGTGATACCAACAACCGAGGTTGAAGGTGCACTTCCAATCAATACGGCTATTACAAAGAAGGGTCACGGTGAGAACATCTTTCCTATCCCTACTCGAGTTATCTGGAATCACATTGTAACAACAACGCTAAGTATTTTGTAGCTCGAAACGATACCTCGAATAGATATCATACACCGAACAATTGTTGTCAGTCGGACAAATACAGGGCTATTGCTATGGAACAGGCGCTCCATGCTGAACTTCGTGAGCAAAATCAGTGTTTTCGTTGCGGTGTATACAACCATATGAGAAAAGATTGCTACGCTTCAGAGAAAACTGTCCGTGAATTCCGGTGGGACTATGGTTTGTGTTTAAGATGTGGCTTACCTGGACACATGGCCAGAGATTGTTCATGTTTTGACAACACTTCTCCGTATGCTATAAAATGATGGCTAAAGAGCAGGATATCTACAGCGAACATAGAGAACGACATACTGCTTAGTCATTCCGAAATGTCTTTGAGTAATAAAAGTATAACTATTGTATGGTAGAACACACTCATTTCACTATATTAGGACTAAAAAGCGCATTGTTCTGGCAGAGGGGACAGCTGTCTAGTATATATAATGCTACACGGTAACACTATAAAGTACACCTTACACGACTACTCCTGTAAAGCACTAGCACGTCTGTAGAAATACCCCTACGGCATGGTTCGTGTGGTAAGAACAGAGTTGACGTAAGATCTAGAAACCGATCGTGATCGCGACTATACATAGAGAGATCGTAGGCGTAAAGTCGTTTCATAGATTTGCTGTCGCTTGCCTACTTTGATATCTGCTGACCGTTGTACCTGACCTTGTGAGCTGTCATTATCGCTGTGACGCTTATCTAGTAAGCTTCACGCGTCAGGTGACTGGTTATCCTGAGCTTGCCTCTATTCAGCTAGTTTGATAACTCCAATTATGTCAGCATTACTGATTGGTGTACTAGACACGGAGGTACCAAAACTGTGTGGCAATCACCCGCGAATCAGTCAACATACCAGCCCCTACAGCTGGCGAGTAGGCCTGGACGATCCTATTGAATAACTAGACGTATACAGAAGTGACAGATTTGTTGCGACAGACAGAACTGATGGTGGCGGCCTTAGAATTTGTAGGGCGCATTATTGAGATGAAGCGAGTGCCCTCGCATACCTAGAGGGTAGGTATATGCACCAATGTAAATTTTATATTCGCGGGCATATATTGACTCAGAATCGAGTCTAATATACTTTTTAATAGGTAAATATAATCATTATGGTATCTGTATGCCACCATAGTGTTGTAAAGCGAAAGTACCAGCAAGTTTGTCCGCCACGGCGGTTGTTCCATTACGAAGGGATGTACGTTAGGCTTCTTGGTGTGGAAATTCTTTACTGCTTCATATAGTCTACGAAAGCTTCTCATAGTTATATAGAAGCAAAAGTAAGGCCTTCGTAGCCTGGAGCGGTAGCGTCTAGGTTTACGGCTTATCGTGCTACTAAAAAGACAGCAAGAATGCTATAATTAAACTACTAAGCTAAAAGGTGAGTAAGGTTTGAAAGAATGTATTCTAAAGATATCCTAGGCATGCAGTCGCTGTTCGTGTTATGAGGAAAGAAAAGGAGTGTTTGGTAGTTCCGCTACGGCGGTTATTCCATTACAAATGGATTCATGTTACTACTTAGAACCGACATAAAAAAAAAAGCAAGACCAAAGGACACATCTTCTAGCTTCTGGCACAACAACACAACGACAAAGAAAAAAAAACCTTAAACGGGGTATAAAGAACATCTAAATACCCAGAAAAACACCCAAGCACAAGGAAAACCCGCACAATAACCTTTGTCTCATTGTCCCAAACCTAAACATCTTTCCTACCCCCACCAGGCTTCCTGAGCCTCTTCGTCGTAGTCCGCGGTTCCGCCCCACGCGTCCGCTTCCCCGTCGTACTCATTGTCTCCACACCACTCACCTGCTTCCCCCCTGTAACCTCCGTAGCCTTTGCAGCAGCCCCCGGCGCCGAGCCCGCTCTCTGAATCGGCGGCGACGAGCACGCAGGCCGAGCAGATCTCTTACTCCTTCCCTTATAGCGCGCAGACCAACTAGGAGGCAGCGCATCTCTCCTCTCCACAACCGTAGAAGGGTATAAGCGCTGCGGCTCGTCGGCTGCTCTGTCGTAGAACCCTGCTTTCTTTTGCTTGAGGAAGTTGTATTCGGGAATATCTGGTGTTTTTTCTCGACGTTGCTCGGGGTCGACGTCGACAATGGCTTGGATGTTTTCGCGGGAGTCGGTGACTACGATTTTGGGGATGTCTTCGAAGATGTGGGGGGCGGGTGCGGTGTTGGGGTCGCTGGGGGTGTCGGGTTCGGTGGCTTCTTCTGTGTCGGAGCCGCCGTCTGCTGGTCCTGTCTCTTCCATAAAAGTCTGCTCGAGTTCCTCGAGGGTCACGGCTGCGTCGTAGTTGGCGTTGGTGAGTAACCTCTGGTATGGCTGGTCAATTTGAGTTGGTTGGAGAGTGGAGCTGGCGTTTTGTTGAGTATTAGCTTTGGGTTTACTGACACGGGTAGGCTGCCTGATCGAAGGTTGAGTGCGGGGATTCAGAGGAGCTCTTGGTGGCTCATGGTGGACTGGTGGAGGCTCGTCAACGGATGGGTCGTCTTCAGCGATATAAAAGGATTGATTGAAATTAAGCGGTCCTCCCAAATGACTCTCTTCTGGTTCAGGCACTGGTGGAGATTCATTGATGACCGGCCCGTCATCTTCAGCCACATAGAAAGATTGGTTGATATTACGCGGTCCTCCTAAATGGCTCTCACCTGGGCCAGTGACTGGTCTCAAAACCGTATTCGAAATCTCCCCTAAGACCCACCTGTTCCTCACAGGTGCCAAAGTCTGCTCAGTCGAGGTTTGAGCGAGGAGAGGCTGAGAAGATGATGTCGGTTCGTCCTCATCAGCCATATAGAAGGCCTGGTTCACATCACACGGTAATCTATTCTCCTTGGAAGTGCCAGCACTAGAAGCTTTCTCGGTCGAAGACGAATTGCGTGCATTCGGGGGAGCTAGTGGTGGCTTGTGATAGGCTGGTAGAGATTCATCGATAACCGTCTCGTCATCGCCAGCCATATAGAAGGCCCGGTTGACATCACGCGGTAGCCTATTATCCCTAGGAGTACTGACACTAGAAGCCCTCTCAGTCGGTGATGAACCTCTTGTACTCGGAAGAGCTGGTGGTGCCTCGTGTTGTACCGGTGCAGGTTCATCGACGGATAGGTCGTATTTGGTCAGCAAGAAGGACTTAGTGATATTACGCGGTACTCTCGTGTGACTCTCGCCTGAATCAACGACTGGTATCGGATTCACATTCGCAATCCATCGTAAGATCCTCCTGTTCCCGCTAGGTGCCTCGGCCATGCGAGATTGTTGGATGGCCCGGTCATCAGCCGCGCGAATCTCGTCGAGCAGCGAGACTGGAAGCGACGACTGGTGGAGGTTTGCGACGAGGTACCTTTCCATAGCTCTCATACAGGAAAGTGACAGGTGGTTGTTGTTGTCTTCGTCATTATGCATGATTTCTAGCAATTCGCGCATCACGCGCCTTGGGTCCTGAGCGGAGATGTATACAGCTGTAGGAAGTTAGTGTGTGCGATAGTCTTGTCAGACGAGTTTTCAACAAACCTCGATTAGCCATTTTATTGTCGATATTGACATTTAATTTGGGTTTGTATATGCTGGTGGTATATAGGTTGTTCAGGGCAGATTGAGTGTGGAGTAGTCAAAAAGATGTGCGAACGAGCCAAGGAAAAGCACACAGGGTGATTGTGTGGAAGAGTTTGGTTTTTGATAGCCCTGAAACAAACCTTCGTTTGGTAGTGAGAAGAGTTTGGGAAATCTCTCGCAATGGTTGAGTATGCTTTCACTCTGTGTCACCGCGTGCTGAGCGCGCGATGGACCACACTGCCTAATATAGAGCGTAAACTGAAGATTTGTACCCCAATAAAGGATTTTTGGTGACCTTTGTTCCATAAAGAAACTTAGCAGACATTGTTGAAGCGGCATAACATGTTGCCTCGCAACCATCGAGATCACGTGTGCGCGCTTTCACACCTTGGCTCGAGAGCGAGAAGATGAAAGCTCTTTACACTAGATTCTGATTTTTTTGACAGCACACGAGCAACTGAATTTTGCAAAGGGCTAGAGCAATCCCAAGGTTATCGTCACGAGCATGCCGAACCACACTGGCCTACCGCAGCCTTGTATAACGTAAGGCTACCTTTGGATTCGGTCGCGAATCGTGTGGGGACGACCATCCACCCCGAATAAGTCCCTCAAAACCTTGGCACCTACGAACGCCGACCGTTTGTCCTGCAAACACTCCACTTTCCCCTCTACTAGCTATCACTGTATACATTATGACGTCTCACTAGTCGTTTGTAGCAACTCACCCTCACAACCCAGGTTCACGCGCAGCGCGACCTGATTACAACAATCCAGCAGCGCTCCCGCCAAACCTCACTTTCTTTTCTTACCATCTCCTCAACCAATTCAAGAACCTCTTGTCGCAGTCGCTACCTCGTCATCACCGCACGGGAACTCTCGTGCCGCATTGCTTGTTTTTTGCGTTTCTTTTGGACACTGTCGTAGTTTCGCATACTGACACTGAGAAGATATAGCAAGTCCAAGCTCTATACACGGCAAGCGTCATGGGCTTTACTAGAAGGTCGCGGCGCAAGGCTGCAGGCAGCAACGAGGGCGCAAGGGGCAGATCCAGAGGCCGCTCTCGTACCCGCCGCGAGCACCCTCAGGGTCGAAATCAGTCGAACCCCAAGAAGTATGGTTATCTCAACGGCATGAAAAACGACAGTGAAGATGAAGCCCAGAGCAATAAGCAGTTAGTGTTGCATGCCCAGCGTTCAGTCCCGCGTCAAGCACAGCCAGAAGCATTCTGCTCCCGTTTCATCAACCCAGCAGACATCCCTGCAGTCACAGACGATGAAGACAACGAAGTCTCTTCTCTCTCCGAATACGAGTCGCTAGAGAGCACCGAAGACTGGGAGCACCTCGTACCTCAAACCCCCACCGCAAACGTGAGCCCCAAACACACACCTCTTCCATTCATCCCCACTAACCCCCAAACCCCCCAGCAGTCCCCCTCGTATCCGTTCCCGGGAACCTGGTCCGCGGCTCTCCAAGACTCCAACCACGCCATGACCAAAGTCAGCAGCGCAACCCTCTCGTACGTCGGCGCCCTCGCCACCTCGGGCATGAGCAAAGCCACGCGGAGCATCAGCGCCGCCGCCCTCTCCACCACCAACAAGTACGCTGCCTCCCTCACCAGCTGGGGCCTCGCCAAGTCGGGTTTCGGCCGCAACGAACTCCCCGCCCCAATCTGCAAGTGGCTCACCAAGAAAGAAGAGGCCGACAAGAAAAAGAGCAAGGCACGCATCAAGAGTGAGATGTCCCAGCGCGAGTTCACCGATGCGAGGGGCAGGTATGTGCTTGATATGCATGATACTGATGCTGCAGGCGATTTCGTACGCAAGGATAAGAATCTGTCAAAAACCAAGGAAGCTGAGGCTGGAGAAGAGACCGGTTGGGGCGAGCAGGAGATGAGGGGCGGTGGTCCTTTTGATGATCGGTTCGCTGTTGCTGATACTGACGAGAGTGACAGCGAGGAGGAGGAGGACGCGGGAGAAGATGATGGTCTGGTCAGGATGTTTGAGTTTGATGACTGAGTGCTTGGCGACTCGGTTTGACGATTCAGCTTGACAGCTCAGTTTGATAACTGAGAGTTTTTGTACGTGTTCACGAGACAGCGACAACCTACGGGCGTTTGGTATATTGTCCAACCGACACAGCGATTGTACAGGCACTACCAAGGCGATTCAGCCGTACTTTTTTCGCTTTGGGTAACTAGTCGGGTTTCCTGGACTGGGGGTCTTTTTTTGTACAAGATAAATGCGCGGGAATACACACGCACACGGAAACGTCGAAAGCTTCCCGACATCGAATGCGAAGGAAGCGTCGATTCGACTTGAGGAGCTCTGAAGTCTCCTTCCTTGTATGGGTTAATTGAACTGAAAACACACTTAAATCACATAAATTAGATTCAAAAAAATCGATGAACTTGTAAAAAAGGGGGTATTTTTGTTCGTAATTCTGGTTACATTGTAATAATACCAAGCAATAACTACTCTACTCATCAAGATATACAGACATGAAAGGGAAATGGTACACACACATCATCATCTAATCATAACAAAAAATGCCTGGTCGAATGCCCACTTTTTCGCTCTCTCCACAATCCCACGCTTACAACTTCTGCTTCTCCAGACCCTTCCAGCCCCACTCTTGCGCGATCAGCTCGGCAGCACGCTCACCGATACCAAGCACAGTCAACATGGGGTTGATAGTGGGCATCTCGGGGAAAACACCAGCGTCGGCAATGCGCACGCCCTTGAGGCCGCGGACCTTGAGTTCAGGGTCGACAACGGCCTTCTCATCCTTGGTGATGTCGCCCATTTTGGTGGTACCGGCAGGGTGGTAGACGGTGTGGGCGACGCGACGGCCGTACTCGGAAAGATCCTCATCAGAAGTGATGTGGGGGCCAGGTGCGACCTCGCGCTTAATCCAGTTGGCGAATGGGGCTTGCTTGGCGACTTCTCGCGCAGCCTTGAGACCAGCGACGATGGTGGCGGCATCGTAGCCTTCGGGGTCAGTGAAGTAGCGGAAGTCAAGAGCAGGCTTGACGTTAGGGTCAGCAGAAGTGAGGTAGAGGCGGCCGCGAGAGCGGGGACGGGGAATGTTGGGGGTCATGCAGAAGGCGTCGATAGGAGAGTCGTAACCCAGACTGTTATACGTTAGAACTTGGTTCTTCTTGAAAGTCATTCTCAACTTACCGAGCAGTGTTTAGGCAGAAAGGAATCTGGTAGCAGTGCATCATGAGGTCAACAACCTCGCCATCATCACCAGCCGCGTTGGGGACCTCTCGTCGCAGAAAGATACCAGCATCTGAATCCTGGGTAGTCTGGTTTGCAGGAACAGGCTTGTTGAGCTCCCAGAGGATGATGCTCTCTGGGTGGTCGAGCAAGTTCTCACCGACACCGGGCAAGTCCTTGACAACGGGAATGCCAAGATCGGAGAGTTGTTGCTTGGGGCCAAGACCGGACAGAAGCATCAATCGGGGGGTATCGACAGCACCTGCACAGAGAATGGTTTCGCACTTGGGGTTGAGGGTGAGCTTCTCGCCGCTCTGGAGGGTGATATTAACACCAGTGACCTTGTTGCCTGACACGTTGATCTTGCTGACCCATGCGTTGGTAAGGACGGTCAAGTTGTTGCGAGTCTCCTCGCCACGGAGAATTGGATGGATGTAGGCTACACTGGCGCTGCTTCGGCGACCATCATCAGGATTGTATGCCACCGAGAAGAAGCCGACTGAAGGCTTGAGAGCACCCTTGGTCTTGATCTCGTGATTGAAATCGTGAACTACAGGAATGTTCAAAGAGGTTGAGCATGATTCGACCCAGTCAAGGCAGAGCTGATTTCGGTGTTTCTCGTGCACGGGCTGAACGGTGTTGCGGAGGTTGTCAAGCACGCGCATAAACGTCTTAAAGCTCCATCCCCTGCACCCTTGCTGCTCCCACCTCCTGCAGTCGTATTCAAACGGCCTGAAGGAGATGAGCGTATTGTGTGAGGAGCAGCCACCTAAGACCTTTGCACGTGAGTGTCGGATGTGAGAGTTGCCATTGGGCTGTTCGGTAGTGCCGTAGTCGTAGTCGAGTTCTCCTCCGAGAAGGTTGAGCCAGTCCTTGAGAAGCAAGACACGGTCATCCATAAAGTCGCTTGGGCCAGCCTCAATCAAGAGGACTTTCTTGTTGGGCAGGTACTCTGTGAGGCGCGAGGCAATGACACAGCCAGCTGTGCCTCCTCCGACAACGACAAAGTCGTAGTCGGCATCCTTGGGGATGGACGTCACAGTCTCAAAAGCCATGGTCGCGTGTGGGTGGAGGATGAAGAGGGATAAATTGGTGAGGAGGATACTTCCTTGGACTCTACCAAGTTTTCACGTAGAGGCAAGCTTATATGTATGTAGACTATGGCGTGAAAAGGTCAGTCTTGTCAGCACGGACCTGGGGGTCACGATCGGCAGAGACTCGGATACCCAAAGGGAGTCGATTGAGTGGTGAGGCTGGGCGGATGGCGTGTCGTAGTTCCGCTGCAGGATGTGTAACTTGCTTTCCAAGATAAGAGGGCCTAAAAAGGGCCGTTTACGATAGGGCCGGAACGATGCACGTGCTTTGGTCAACGTCTTAGCTGTGCGTGTCAGCGGGAATGCGATGGCTGAGCGGGGAAACGTGAACTAAAGGAGGGAGGGGTTGTTGGCGACGAATCAAAGACGAGAGCTGTATCTTGTCTGCTGATGGTGTTGAAGGGACCAAAGGCTTTCTCTCCCGCCGTTCGTTCGTCCCATATCGGTCGCGAGGTCAGCAACGCAAAAAAAAGCGTCGCAAAACTGACCAATGACGCCATTTCCGTACTGGGACTAGTGCACCCCGCTGATTGTGCGAGTTCCGAGCGTGGGATCCCTGCCATTCCACGCCGCACTTTACCCGATCCAAAGGCGGTGAGCACGACAGCCATCAGACAAGGCGTTTTGTGCCACCTGCGAGAAACTCTGAGCTCAAAGACGTCGCGCCATCCCGCTGGCAACCGCTGCGCATTGCCCTCCATTTCCTGGCATACGTACCACCAAGACCATATTTTTGTCCGACGCGATCCGCTTCTTCGTTGACTAACCTCAGACGGGAAAGCAAAGTGCAACGGCTGCATACAAGCTCCCCCTGCCTCTAGCTATCACTCTGCATAGACTACCTATATACAAACGTTGGCGCAAAACCTCGTACCTTGACGTTACATCATCTCTCAAGGACAAAACTGATACCTTGCAGTGGACAGTCGGTGCTTGATTTGTTTCCTGCCGTATTTCCATCTTCGTGACATCCCCGTACAAGCCCTGTTTTATCCTCACTTGTTGCTTCTACTCCATTGCGCCAAACAGACTCCTTGACCATGTCTCTCCCATATGCGCCTCGCTCTGCCTACTACGACGGCAAGATACAATCAGGCTGTTCTTCATCTACATTTCAAACGATTGATCCCGCGACTGCGCAGCCTGTCGCGAACATTCACGCAACTACCAACGCTGGCATCGATGCTGCCATAGCCTCTGCTCACAAGGCCTTTCCAGCATGGTCCGCCACGCCTCCCATCGAACGCGCGCGCATTCTCCAACGGGCCGCAGCCATTCTGCGTTCGCGAAACGATGAACTCGCGAGAATTGAAACCACCGACACGGGCAAGCCCTTCTCCGAGACCTCGACTGTCGACGTCGTCACAGGCGCAGATGTCTTGGAATTCTTCGCCAACCTAGTCGGAGGAGGCGGTATGAACGGCGAGACGGCGCCGCTACGACCAGACGCATGGGTATACACAACCAAGAGTCCTCTGGGTGTGTGCGCAGGCATCGGAGCGTGGAACTACCCCATTCAAATCGCTCTCTGGAAATCTGCTCCCTGCCTCGCCGCTGGAAACTGCATGGTCTACAAGCCGTCAGAATTCACACCTCTCCACTCTACCGTCTTGGCCGACATTTACGCAGAAGCTGGTGTGCCTCCCGGTGTCTTCAACGTAGTCCAGGGCGGCGGCGACGTCGGCGCATACCTCACCTCGCACTCTGGCATTGCCAAAGTCAGCTTCACCGGCCAAGTTTCTACGGGCAAGAAAGTCGCAGGTAGTGCAGCCGGCGGTATGAAATACGTAACCATGGAGCTCGGCGGCAAATCCGCCTGCATCATCCTTCCGGACGCCGACATCGACCAAGCCGTCGACGGCGCCATGCTCGCAAACTTCTTCTCCACAGGCCAAGTCTGCACAAACGGCACCCGCGTCTTCGTCCCCGAAGCCATGAAGTCACAATTCGAGCAGCGCCTCCTCGAAAAAATGCAATACATCCGCCCAGGCGACCTCTACTCCCCCGCCACAAACTTCGGCCCTCTAGTCTCCAAACCGCACTACGAAAAAGTCCTCTCCTACATCCGACACGGCATCGACACCGACAAAGCCACCTTGCTCCACGGCGGCCCAGAGTCTCCAGCCTGGCTCACCTCGCACCCCGACGCCTCATACAAGCAAGGCTACTGGGTCCAACCCACCATCTTCACAAACTGCACCGACGCCATGAAAATCGTCCAAGAAGAAATCTTCGGCCCCGTAATGTCCATCCTATCCTACTCCTCCATCGACGAAGTCGTCGCCCGCGCAAACAACACCCCGCTCGGTCTCGCCGCCGGCATCTTCACCAAAGACCTCAATACAGCGCATAAAGTTATTGCACGCTTGGAGGCCGGTATCACGTGGATCAATACCTGGGGTGAAAGCCCTGCGGAGATGAGTGTGGGGGGTTGGAAACAGAGTGGTGTGGGTGTTGAAAATGGGAAGAGGGGGCTTGAGGCTTGGGTTAGGAATAAGAGTACCTTGGTTGAGATGGGTGGGGTTGTGCCGACAGTTTTTGCGAAATTGTGAAAAACACGTGGAGAGAATGGGGGGTAGGAGGCGGAAGCGAAGTTTCTTTTTTTTTCTTTTTCTCTTTTGTGTATATTATTGAAGATAGTTTGACATGAGATTCGGAATGTGATGAGCTTATGAGATATCTCTCTTTTTTTTCTTTCCTTCTTCGTATGACATGAGCTTTCCTTACCCATCATTAGTCCATTGCACACGCATATACAAAACGCAAAGGGAAAATTGACAATGTAGCCTAGGATCTCTGATTCTTGACATTTCACCAGACCATGTTTTCCATGTTACTGGTAGAAAACCCCTCGGAAGAAAAGAAGAAGAAGAATGGTGGAGACGTAAGTAGGATCGTAAAGGCAATTATTTACATTGGCGTGGGTATGTAACTTTCGTTTTTCAGAACGTTACTACGGGGTATGCAACAATTTCTATTTCCTTCCCTCTGCACGTGTGTTACCTCAACGGCAAGACCTTTTCATCTTCAGTAACATCCGCTACGTTTTTCACGGGCAAGGCAGCGGGGCTAGCCGCAGGTGTCAAATGCGATACCCCGGCCTTAGACGCAGACGCATCGTCGTCCTGAAGGCCCATCTTGACCCTCTTATTCACATAGCCTGGGTTAGGACTCGCCCAGGTGTAACCAAAGGCTTTACCCAGGACCTCTTGCACACCCTCTGCGAGAATCTGAACTGCCTTTCGGCGATTCGTACTCCATTCCCACGCGCGGTACCAGCGACCAGCCTGGACAGCGGTTTCCTGGCCGCCCTCGAGGCCGTCGAGAATCGAACGCCAGACCAACATTGTCTTTTCCAGTTCCTCTGCGCGCGACACGCCGATGACGCTGACGCCGAGCTTAGAGCCGCCGACGTCGTCGATGGATTCGTGCTGCCAGGGTAGGCCAGACGCGGGGTCGCCTTTGGAGCCGCATAGCGCGCCAGCCGAGATCCATGTCTCGAGCGCGAAGCGTATAGCGATGACTTCGATGCGCTCGCCGTAGCCGTCGCAGAATTCGCTGGCTTTGCGCACGGCTTCGCGGATATCAGACGGCGCAGGATGGAAGTCGCCCAGTGCGCCGACGGGAATGCCTTCACGACGAAGAAGTCCCATACCGAGAATCGATGCGTTGGGGACAACATCGACGCCCGCGTTCTTCAGACGCAAGACACCATTTTTGCCGGCGAGCTCCTGGTTCTGAAGCGTAAAGTTTGCATACGACTGCACTGCGTCGAGGGGCTCGCCCGTCTCGCGCAGAATGAGTTCAGCCAAGTCGCCCAGTACATCCAGCGGATATCCTGAGATACCAATGTATCTGATTGTTCCCTCCTCGTCTCTGATACGGCGTAACTCCTTGATTGCTTCCAGAACCTCTGCCGCGCTTACAAACTCGACGTCGTGGCAGTATACGAGATCCAGGTACTCTGTTTGCATGCGCTGCAGACTCCTCTGGACGCTATACTGCACCCATTCTTTGCTGTAATCAAACTCCTCGCTTGCTATCCGTCCAACTTTTGTCAATATCATGTATGAGCTGCGCGGGAACGTCTCGCGGACAAAGGGTGTAGCGAGCGCATCGCCGAGTAATTGTTCAGAGGGCCCGTAGTAGGGCGATGTGTCGAAAGCGCGGATGCCATGTGTGAGGGCCGATGTGACGAGACCCGTGGTGTCGAGGGCATAGGGATCAGTATTGTATAGGTGGTTGAAGGTTGCGGTACCGAAGACGAGGGGCGGGAGAATGGACGAAAGAGGGGTACGGCGCCCATTGACAAAAGTATAGGGAAGCGGCTTTTGGCGTGTGGGAAACTTGGCCGTCGTCGTTGCGTGTTCAACCGGTGTTGTCGCCATGATTAACAAGTAGGGTCCACGGGGGTCTCGGCGATTATAGATGTCGTCTAGGAGATATGTGGAAAGGGTTGTTCGTCTCCAAAAGAATAAACTAACTGCCGAACGGTCACTCGTATAACGTCCGTGTCCGCGAGGCTATCGTTAGTACTCCCCGCGATATGGACAGGCAGGTAGTACAGTCGACGATCCCCAATAGAGAGCGAAGAAAAGCAAAGGTCGAGTATCCTTCACCAAACCCTAAAGACAATTCTCGGTGTACGAAGTCCGAGTCGCGATTCGGCAAAAATGGTCGGGACACGATAGTGAAGGGAGAGTTGCAAGAAGAATGGCGGGGGAACAAGCACCGTGTAAAAACATAAGTAGTAGTAGTAGTAGTAAAAGAGAAAGGACACCCCTCCATTCCTCCGTAGTCGCCTCACATTTCTCCTCGCGGCATCTACTAACCCACGTCCCAAAAGCGTGAATCAATGTCTTCACCACCGGTCCGTTTCGGCTTTGGGCTCTCTGGCTGGCCGCGCGATTGCAGCAACACATGGACTAGTCAAGTTTGGCATGCATGGCGCCATCTGCATCCAGTGTCACGTTTTTGTTACTCCGCGACGTCAACAGCGTCCGCTAATTCGCCAAACAACAAGAGTAGATGGAGTGCAAGGCAGAGAAGGAAAAAAAGTGGGCGATAGGAAATGATTCATGCGTGTAATGTGGTCGAGCGTGGGCTGGGTTGGGGGGCTGATGCAGTGCTATTCTTGCAAGATAGATCCTTGTCCCTTGTAGCCGACCTGGCACGTGTCATCTCGCCTAGTAGTGTGCAAAATGCACTGGTCTGTGCGCTACGGTTTGGGTGAATGGATCCTAACCGACCGACGAAGGATTCTGCTTTGCCCTGAGGAGCATGGCCGGATAAGCACTCGGCAGGCATATTCCATGCTTCCATATCCCGATAACCAGGTACAAATTCAACAAAACTACTGTTGCGAAATAACGCCCGCGGCCAGCCGCCTCATACGCGTACTAGTAAAGTCCTGTCATATGTCGTAGTAGCCTCTGCACAATTCGGCCCGCGGAATCCATGTTATTCAACATCACCACAAGGCGGATGCCTAGCCCGGACTCCGGACTTCTACCGCCCGGTCGAGGTATCCAAGTAGGTCAGGGGAAGACTGGAATTACTAACCATGTATTCATGAGCCCGACATAGTACGGGTTTTTAGGGTATCGATGCAAACTCCGCAAGAAAGACAAAACGTGATATACATCTTCTAGTTTCGCTGCAATAATAAGAACATTTCTATGCTGTCATCGCTCCCGTTGTCCAGCTCGCTGTATCCCTCTCTTCTTCCTCCGGGAAATGCGGCTCGACTGGGCGGCCGTAGCCCCGGATGCTGAGGATGCGATTTCGACGGGCTTACTACTACTTCATGGCTTGATGGTGTATCTCGTCGTACCGCTTTTTCCATTGCGCTCGGATTATCTTCCTTCTGGTTAAACGATGCTTGTACCGAGCGTGCTCCCGAAGAAGACTCCTGGATGCCCTTGTGCGCACGCAAATGTGCCGACCGACGGGGATACGATGACTGCGAAGAGCTGGCGAAGATGCGCGGAAACATTTTGTTCATCAAAGGTTTGCAGCCTGGAAGGCATCCGCATGCGACGCCCACAGCGCTTTCAATGGACATGATGATAAAGACTGAGCCTCCATACCCTGTTTTAATCCGTCTTAGTATCTGTGCTTGGGCGGATCATGTAATCGCTCAAGGTAAAAGGAAAGAACAACATACAGAATGCGTCGAAGGAGACGAGATACCGGTACGTAAAGTAGAGTCGTACAACCCCAGCAATGCATACACTATTGAGATGTTAGGGTCGGGTCTGTAAGCTAATAAACCAAAGTAAACTCACATTACGCCGAGTGAAAACATCATAATCAGTGTCAACCGCTGTCGCCGTGATACCTGAACATTGATGAGGTTTCGTGCAGGCCACAAAAAGATCACAAAGTCGCTCAAGGTATTTTGTCCGCCGTGAAAATAGTATATGGCTTTGATGTTGAGGCATTTGGCAGTGCCAATGAACTCGAACACTTTCCAGTACGTGCTTGCCGGCCTGTGACGCTCATTTTCAGCACACCATGTTCAGGTCAAAGGTGTGGATAGTTCTTACGAGCATTGGAATAGTGTCACGAAAAAGCAAGCCGTGTTTAGCGTCACTGTGTAGAATATCATCATATGGCAAAACCACCTGTCGAGCTTGGCTGGAAAGATGCCTACGCACTTCGTGTTAGGTCATGGTTCGGTCGACTTTGTAGCTTGATGCCCACTTACGTATGTAGGTCAGAAGAATGGCGACTTTCATAAAAGTCGTGATGGCAGTAAAGAGCAGCTGAGTAGCCATACCCATCTAGACAAGCGTGAGCATGAGTACCCTCTGATATCCCATACGACATACCTGAGCAGCCTTCATCGAGCCATAGAGTTTCTCTGGGTGAATATCCCCTTTTTGAAATCAGTTATTAGGCTTGGTTATATCAGAGAGCAGAAGCATACATAGATGATAGCCCATCTGGTACTCTGGCAGCATGGATATTATGAGCATGATGTTGCTCCCAATACACAGCACCTACGAGTGTTTAGCTGTCGACCTATAGCAATAGGGCTTTGCATATTGAACTTACTGCTGCAATGGACATCAACCCATCATCCCATCCTAATGTCTTTACAAGAACAGTCCGGCAATACAGTCGACATGACATGAAAACGGCGACCAGGACACACATTGGAATGACAACACCCAGTGCCATGGGCAAGTGGTTGATTGGGTCGACATAATTCGGCGGCGGGAACGACGCGAACTCCTCCGCAGTGGGAAACCTCGAGGTCATTTCGTCTCGCGCACCGAAACGGTGAGTCGACTCGAGGACGAAATCAGAAAAAAGAAAGATGAAAATAAACAGTGGCTCCCAAGAAGCAAAAGGCAAGGGGCGCAGCGCTCGGGAGCATCCGCGGATATTATAGCCGGCATACAGCACATGTACCCCGCGGTACGTAGGTACAGCCAGCCAGCCATCGACAAGAATTTGAAACTGTCTTGAAGTAGACTACGGCATGTCTGTTGCGTGGCGCGGGATGGTCGTTGCTAGCACTTGCTCAAAACAAGCCCATTGTCCGAAGACGATTACCGATCTCCAGGCTACCCTTCCCGACGACAGGATTTGCAACCACGGGTGGATCTTCCTTTTCTGATTCCCCACCAGTCAGAGAGAAACCATGCTAGCTGAGTATCTAGTAATAGTATTGTGGCACACAGATAGGCTACCAACGAGCCAATTCTCCCCTGCAAGTGCTTGGTTTCTTGCACTCCCTCCCCACGGCACATAGTGCAGCTCAGGGGGTGATTAGGATTGCAACTGTTATTTTGCCGCGGCAGCTATAATGGGGCGTATCCTAGGCCTCAGCTGAAGTGACGGGTTGGGACGACCGGATTAACACCCCTGCTACTTGAATCACTGGATACTTAAGTGCCGCACGTGGCTGCACAGCCGTTGTAGGATCCATGCACTCCGCTGTGTCGCGTCGCTGGGACTGCCGCGACATTACTCATCACAACTCCTGAGTTGAGTTGTGCAAGAATGCTCCATCTTGGGAGCTAAGCAAAGACTAACCGTTGCGGGCAATGTAACGAATTTTTCCCCAACAATCCTTTGTGGTTGGCCTCGAATCCGCAATTCCTGGGCAAAGGCATGTGGTAATCGACATGATCCCTGCTGGACGATCCGTGTTATTGGTAATGTCCCCCGAGTTTGGGCGAACCTGGAGCTTGTCCTTGAAACATCAGGGTCGGCGAGGACCGATGTGTTTTGCGCGCCTTGCTTCCTAGTGTTCGGCAATAGCTGCTAGATTGGCCGGTACTTTGCCACGTGCCTGTGGCTGTCTATGCACATAGATATGCCAGAGGTCAATTGTGCCCGCAATATGGAAGGTGAATCGGTCAATCAAACCCGGCTGCCTGTCACACCGTAGTGTCAACGATAAAGCCGAACGGCTCTCACTAGCTTCTGGAAGCGCACCTTGGGATGACATCGGGTAGCGACTCAGGTTGGCGTAGTGTTTCACCTAGACGGCAGCTATATGCTAGGATACAACGCCTTACGTGCAGCCAGACGCGTGATGGTTCATCTTGATGCAATACTCGGCCCGTAGCGTAACCCAAAATCGCAATGTCCCCGCGCTCTTGGCAAGCCTTGTATTGATTTACGCCCACGCAGAACTTTGTCAGCTACCCGACGTTATGCCTGACTCCAGAATGTGGTCGACCAGAACGCATCGTCGCTTGTATAGTAGCGGTATATCCCATTGATTCCAATTGTAGTCAAATTCGGCACTTGTGAACAAGATGACGTGGTGACGTCTTTGATCTAAGACGTAGATGGCGGTAAACTTCGCTCTGTAACCGACGCCGGTAGTTGTCTCATCATCTGCGTATCCCTGCGCGTGTGAATGCTTGTGCCATGTATCTCTTTTGTAGTGTGTGCAAAGATTGTAACGATCGTTGCAACAAAAACAGGGGTGTAGTATCCTGGCAAGATACTAGTGTAGATTTCGAACAAGAGCTGCCATAAAGGGCAAGAGTTTAGGGCGCTACTATCTGTCATTCGACAGAGCACGACAAGGCGATAGCACTTCGCAGTGTCATTGGCGGCAAGTTTATAAACCGTTTCTCAAAATGGTAGGCGCTGTGCTGCTTCGTTGATGATGTCGTTATCAACAATCGTCTCTAAAAGGGAATCATCTAGAGTTCATTGTAAGTACAGTGGAAGCATGTAATCGGTGTGACGACAGGACATCTGGCGTCGTTGCAATGCAGTGCTCGAGACTTATTCGATGTATGAGCGATCACCCTGGACCTTGAAGGCGCAATGGTGTTCACCCAAAGTCCACAAGCGCACACGGATTGCCACACAAGTGGCTACAACACCTGGTCGAGCTTTGTTACATGTCTGCAACAGAGGGTCTTGGTCGATCATACCCATCTCCAGTAAAGCAAGTCGCGTGGGGGGGGGGGGGCTCAAGAACGGGGGTGTTTGCCAGTTGCTGTCCAACATCACAGCCGCACCGAGGTAGAGCGCGATAACCTCCTCAGTGTTGATTATGCATCCAAAATTCCCAGGCCAACGTACTCGATGAGTCCAATCGGAAAACACAGGACTTTCGTGCTCCGGAGATTAATGCTCTTGATATGTGCTGGGTTCAACCTTTGGAATAGATTTGGTAACAGTCCGAGGAGCGGTGAAAAATACCGGGTTTTGCCTTATCGTCAGATGGAGATGATGAGCAATGCCATTTCGAACAGACCTTGTCCTTATGCCAAGGACGGATATGTAGTTCCTTTTGGCGATGAGCATACTTGGGCAGGTTTACACTGATCCACACCCAGATCAAGAATTGGTCCAGATGCACTCCCTGCACAAAATCATGTGCCATGCCAGATGTAATATATACACTGGACCACACAACCGCCAATTCGCTCCAGGTAGCATCTTTGAGGGTGGCTGGGAGTCACATGCACCTAGCAGAATGAGAATGTGGTGTTGAGATCCATGGGACATTCCACGTGTAGAGTAGTTCCAAGTTGTAGTGGTGGTCGAGAGCCATTACACTGGGACTGCAAGAGTACAGGAGGCGGTGGTCATTTCCTGTCATGGGTGAGGTCCGGCTCTAAACCCACCTCCTCTAAAATGGTTGCATGTTAACAAAAATCGTCCAATGACTAGTTGTCGTCGAGGGGTAATTCACGAGGGTTGAAACTGAAAGCAGCTGAATTAGTGCTGATCATGGAGAGTGCCGAGGCTCTGGACGAATGCATAATCGCAGCCACACCCAACGGGACATAGATCAAATGGGTTAGCAAATGCTTGGACTTGAATTTTGACTTGGTACCGTTGGGAATCAGCCCATGTTGAAGGCGGGGCAAAGGGCCCTAGCACCTGCAGCAACGGTCGTTGACAAAACCCCTGCGGGGGTGTACGGCGCTCGAGTGGCTATGAATCTGGCTTTTCTGATCCGGCTTTCATGGCCCAGAATACGATTGCTATCTCCTTCTTGGTGGGCGTAGGAGCGGAGCCGCGTGCAGCGGTCGTAGTACCATTTTAGGGATGAACCGCTGTTTTCCCGCCCCCAGGTACCTCGCCCTGTGCGTCTTTCAGAGCCGTGTCCGCTGAGCGATCTTGTGGGCCGGAACTCCAGACCCGTCTTCCCTCCCGTTTGCGACGTAGATCACAACTGTTGAACGAGTCAGTTGCGACGACATGTTGTTGAACCGTCGTCTGTTGAATGGTGTGGTATTTGGTGACGTTGAAGGAGTGGTCGAGATTGTGCGTGAAACAAGTTCTAGGCGCCACACAGCTCAAATAGGAAGGACCCTCAATATCATGCGTACTCGGTCCGATAATGGACCATACCTTTCTACAGCCGTAGTTTGGTGTTGAAAGCACATGACGGCCTGCAACAACCCCAGTTTCCAAGAAATAACCACCCACGCCTGGTGCACTCGCCCCTGCGGTTTCAACGGGCAGCCTCCAGTGACTCTGCGATTTGCCACAATAGGAACATTTTCTTCGGGCCGATTGGGTGTAGCCTTACTACATATACCACACCGAGGCTACGCGTGTTAGATAGTAACGCGCGTAAGGCGGAGTCAACGTTGTCTGTCTTGTGTTCGAACCTAAGTAAATATGGAACACCGTCCGGACTCTGGGTTTTCCCTTGGAAGCGGGGTCCTGGGAAAAATCTCGGAACAGAGAGATTGCTCTGGTTGAACGAGCATTCAGGGTTTACCGAACTTACCTCGGTATCTTTACAGTAGTATAGATGGACTGGAGAGAAAATTCTTCAAAATCTACATCAGGTTGCAAAAATCACACAAGAACAACAATTTCTCCATTCTGCCAGGGGTGTTCTGAGCCAGAGAAAAAGCCCATGTGTGCCCCATAGGAACATACCGATTCCACTACCCCCACAGAGAAAATAAAGTGCATGGCGGGGAAAAGATTCCGACATACTCACTTGACCGCGAAGATTGAATTGTTTCGGCATCTGACAGTCTTTTGTCAATACGAGTACCACTTACTTCCCCTCACCTAACGCTGCTCTTGACCGCTCCTTCCCCCCCCTCCCCCCGCACAAGACAGTTCCACCACACAGATTCAGTCTCAAAGAACAACACACTAACACCCAGATCTAGACTTCTTCCAACTGTGCATCTGATTTGAACAGCATGCCAGGAGATTACAGCATCAGACAATGTTGAACCAACCATATCTGCGAAATTCTCAACAGACGTGAAGTGATCTAACAATACGTAATGCTTCTGACTATTCACTCTCTCCAGTCTCTAATCGAAAAGTTTCTGCTTTGCCACAGATCGACTCGAAACTAAGAGCCTGGACACTACAACTTGACACTGAAGTCTTGCTTGATGAATTCAAAGATCATATAAGCATATATAATTGATCTGGTCTCTTGTTAGATGTTAGACACCATATCATTCCTGCACAAGTGAACACTTGCTATAGAACCTTCTAAGATTTCTCGGCAACGCAAAAATATTCTCATAAACGAACAGCAACCCCCCCCCCTCTTACTCTTCCCCCTCACCTATCCCCTGTCTGCCCAGCCTATCCAGCACTCCCCACCTTCCTGGTACATATTTCTCCACCACTCCTCATTTACACCCATCTACTGACTTACCCACCAACCCTCAAGAACCGCCATCAGCCCCTCTTCCTCTTCTCCCATCAAAGAAAAGTCCCATGACACCACCCAACCCCACAAAACCATGAGCCCACTTACCTCGTCCCCCCTCACCACCCCATAATCCAAGCCAACCACCTGACGACCCGCAAAACTCTTTGATAGAAGAATGCCTTGCGAGAAAAAAAAGCCTAATCTGATAAGTCTTTTCCAAAAGAAATCACAAAGAACATAGGCTATTACCCAAGTGAAACTATAAACTTTCAAAAAAAAATATCTCCCTTAAAAACAGGAGAATAAAAGGGAAAGGAGAAGAAGAAAATCAGAACCACATACGACATGCAAATTTGCTCTTCGTATGAATTCCCCTTTGCTCGAAGTCTTTGGGAAAAAAAGAACCTCACAAATCGACGTCGTTCTCCCAAATCTTATACCTCCCCCGCCCCCACCATCCTCCCAAGATGGGAAATAGTGAAAGAAATTAAAAAAAAATACTTGACTGTATGGAAAAGAAAATGCTAACACTACTCCCATGCATCTATTCATCTCATGAAATTTTTAATACAAAAAAATGGGCCAGTGAAGATCGTTACGCAATATACTCAAATGTATGTAGCTGACTACACAGGATTAGGTTACTAAATTTTTGAAGGGTGAGGAAAAATTCCAAGGTCATACTGTTACGACAAAATATATTCTATCGAGCCCACCTCTTTTTTTTCGACACGAAGGAAGAAAAAAGACTTCTACTCCCCTAACCCAAGACAACGAACAAAGCACCACATCACAGATATAAGTCTCAAGTCAAGTGAAAGGACAGAACAGAAAGGGGAGAGAGAGAAAACCAACATTCCAAATGTCTTCATCATCTGATCATACAAATAAAGATGCCCGAAAGGGTTCCGCCTTTCGGGTCTAAAATCGGGCCAGCTATCATCCTTGCCTACGCCAATCCCCCCCCCATGTCCATGCGCGATATACACTGAATCAATCGCATAACCCAGAGCTATAACTACCCATTGAACTAACCACTAACTTCGACACTTATACTCTGAGCAGCTTAGCAGCGTAGTCGGCAATCAAAGTCTCGGTGGGGAAGCTCATCTCCTCGAGCTTCTGAGCGTAGGGAGTGGGGACCTCAGCACCGGTAACCCTAGCGGGGGGAGCCTCAAGGTAGTCAAAAGCGTACTCGCAGGTAAGCGCCATGATTTCGCTTGCGACACCGAAGCTGGGGAAGCCAGACTCGACGCAGAGCATGTGGCCGGTCTTCTTAACAGACTTGACAATGGCCTCTACATCAAGGGGCTTGATGGAGCGCAGGTTGATGACCTCGGCCTCAACGCCGTACTTGGACTTGAGTTGTTCGGCGGCGACGAGGGACTGGCCGACGCAGCGGGAGAGGGTGACGATGGTGAGGTCCTTGCCGGGGCGCTCGATCTTGGCCTTTCCAAACTGAGGGTACGGTTAGCATGCTGGTCAGTGGGTAAAAAGGTGGGGTGTCTTACAGGAATGACAAAATCGTCCCTCTGGACTTCCTCGCTGACGGGGAAAGAGAGACCGTACAGAAGCCTAGCTTACGTTAGCAATGTGCATATCGACTGCGCCATCAATGTAACCTACTCGTTCTCCAAGACGACGACCGGGTTGGGGTCACGAATAGCAGCCTTAAGCAGACCCTTGGCATCCTCTGCGCTGTATGGCGAGACAACCTTCAATCCGGGAATGCTTCCGTACCACGCAGTGTAATCTTGCGAGTGCTGGGCAGCGACACCAGCAGCGAAACCGTTGGGACCACGGAAGGTGATGTTGCAGGGCTGGATACCACCAGACATGTAGTGGGTCTTTGCGGCGGAGTTGATAATTTGGTCAATGGCTTGCATGGCGAAGTTGAAGGTCATGAACTCGCACTATTGTCTCCGTCAGCATTGCTTTTGTCGATCAGGAGGGCTGGAAAATACTTACAACGGGGTGAAGGCCAGCGAGCGCAGCACCGACGGTCAGACCGGCGAAACCAGATTCGGTGATGGGAGAGTCGATTACCCTCTTCTCACCGAAGCGGTCGAGGAGGCCCTTGGTGACCTTGTAACTGGGGAATCAATCAGCACCCGGTTTAGCTTGAGCCCAATTCAAATCAATGGGAAGTATGCTGCTTCTGATTGCAGCTGTCTCTCCCTCATCGCACAATTGAATTGTCCGAGATTGGCATGGTGGGTTACATACGCTCCATTGTATTGCGCAACTTCCTCTCCGAGCACAAAGACTTTATCATTTCGCTCCATCTCCTCGGCCATGGCCTCATTGAGCGCCTCTCGCACAGTCATCTCCTTTTGTCCCGACGCATATCCTCTCCTTGCAATTGACGGTGTCAGGGCAGCGGCGCGGAAAGCAGGTCGGAAAGCGGGCGCCTGTCGTGTCGAGGCCATGAGGCGCGAGGCCGGTCGGAGGAGCCTTGAGGCAGCCATTGTGTGTGATGTGCGAGTTTTAGGGGGTGTGGTGAGGAAATGCCGGAGGCGAGTACTGGCCGCTGAGGCTTCTGGTGGTTGCTGGGGCTGCTGGACAATTTCTTCGGAGGTCGGGGATGCGAATCGTTGGGGCCCTGAACGCGCTAAGTCATAAAGCTTCGGGTGGGTCCCCTACTCTCAAGTGCGAGAACACCCGACACTTGACTTCTTCAGCTCCGGCAGCCCTCAACGCCGGGGATCAACACCAGCGCCGGGGAATAACGCCTCTGCCGGACGGACATCCTAACTCGAATGCTGCACCGCATTTCCATCCCAGACATGTTAATAATCAACACAACCCTCGAACATTCACTCATCCTTCTCCCAAGTTCAGTGTCAATGCCCGATGGGCGTATTACGTATTTCATTCTCCTCTATCTTCACCACGTTTCGCGTTACCGTCACCTACCCTAGACCTTGCTTTGCTACCAGCTATTATACTATATATCCGCGTCTCCAAGGCGCGTGGGTGTAAATGCTAGGAGATTGCTCTCCCACATGGAAAGATGAAACAAAAATGCCCGCGACCAACCAGGCCCAAGATGCGAAACGAATTCTAATGCAAGGTGAAGCAAGAATGAAAAAAACTTAAGCATCAGCTGGTTTCCTTCCGACCATGAGGTACATGGGTGTGAAGAGCTTCTCGCGGCCACCGGCAACAAGGCAGTCAGCGGCCAGGGCAAGACTGTCGGCGGTCTTCTGAGTGCCCTTGGGGGCAAGACCGATTGTCTCAAGGCAACCAACGAACCTGTGGACAAGTCCACGTCCAACCTTTGTCATACGAAGAATGGTGGGGATGTCGCCAAGGGTGCTGATGTACTTGAGCTGGCCAGACAGAGGCCAGTACCATGGGTAGGGGTCGTCCCTATCAGCCAAATCCTCGTGGTGCTCCATGACGAAACCAGCCGCCTTCATGGCAGCAAGCGCAACCTCGACCTTTTCCATGTTGGAGATACCATCACCAATCTCGATACCAAGACGGATCTCGCGGTGGTGAGGGTTCTCGTTGTCATACTTGTCGGTCATGAGCCACTCGTAGACACCAAAGACACCACCGGGCTTGAGGACGCGGAAGATCTCGCTGTAAATACCCTCGAGCGATGGTGCGTGGACGGTAGCCTCGATGGCGTAGACGGCATCGAAGGAGTTGTCAGGGAAGGACATTTGCTGGGCGCACGTTAGCCGGGAATATTACGAGGTATTTGGCAATGCTTACCATGAAGTCACCCTTGACGAAGTTGAGCTTGTGTGAGAGACCCTCCTTCTCGGCGTAGGCGGTCGCACGCTCAATCTGGTAGTCGTTGTTGTTCAAGCCAGTGACGTTGACACCAGCGAACTTGACAATCTCACGGGCAGGTCCACCAACACCACATCCAACGTCGAGGACGCGCATGTTGTCCTGGAGGTTCATCTTGTGGGCGAGGTAGTGCTCGTGACGGGCAATTGCCTGGTAAAAGGACTCGCCGTAGGCATAGCGACAGAAGTGGAAAGACTGGCCCCAACCATACTCGTACAGATCGGTAGCAAGGTTGTAGTAATGCCTGGTGAGGGTGGCGTACTCGTCTCGTCGTTCCTGTCAGATGTTAGTTAGTCTGCATGCTAGTGTTTAGGAGCCACCCGTTGCATACTTTGCGAGTCTCCTCGGTCTCATCCTTTGCCGCCTTGTTGTCCCAGTGCTTGAAGTACTCATCAACGGCGGCTTGCTGAGCAGCCTTGTCCTTGCCGAGTATGGCAGTCATGCCACCACGAGACTTTGCAGTCTGGCCGTGCATGGCCTTGTTAAACTCGGCATCGCGAGTATGGTCCTCCTTTTCAAGCGCAACGGGAGACATTGTAGATATTAGAAGGGATATAAAGAGGGATGTAAAAGTGGAACGGATGAAGCGGGTGTCAGAGAAGCAATTCCAAAGGCGAGGACCCTGGAAACTTTATAAGAAAGCAATGCTGGAGGGAAAGAGCGGTATGGGTAGGCAGAGTGGACAAATTCAAAGGGGGGAATCTGCAGTCGGCCAATCACAGCGCACTCTGTACGCGGCCTGGTCAACGGCACTAGCGGCTGCCCCCTCGTGCGCGTGAAAGCCAAGCCCGTGCTGCTGTGCCTGGACATTTGTTCCTAGCGCCACTCCGCCAACCTTGCTCATCAATCTTCGCCGCCCGTCGTCGCAATCAATCATCACCGCGCCCCACCCGCACGTACTCGACGCCTGCTGATACGCTCATTGCCATCGCCAGAGTAGATTGCGGCAACACATTCTCAATAATCACGACTCTTTGCGCGCTCCTTGTCCGCCATGCCGCCCCAGATCAAGAGCGACTTGAACCGCAGCGGCTGGGAGACGACCGACTTCCCGTCCGTCTGCGAAAAATGTCTGCCCGACAACCCCTACGTGCAGATGCTCAAGGAGGACTATGGCGCCGAGTGCAAGATTTGCACGCGACCCTTTACCATATTCCGCTGGAAGGCCGACCGCACCGCCCGACAGAAGCGCACCAACATCTGCCTGACATGCGCGCGTCTCAAGAACTGCTGCCAACACTGCATGCTCGATCTTTCGTTCGGTCTTCCCATCGTCGTCCGTGATGCGGCGCTGAAGATGGTTGCACCTGGCCCGCAGAGCGATATCAACCGACAGTACTACGCGCAGGAACACGAGAAGGAGATCGAGGAGGGACGGGGAGCCATGGAAGCCTACGAAAAGACCGACGAGAAGGCGCGTGATCTCTTGAAGCGCCTCGCACAGAGTGAGCCATATTACAAGAAGCAACGACGATTAGAGGCCGAGGCGGGCGAGAGCAGCGGACAAAAGGCGTTGCCAGCGCCCGGTGGTAGTGGTAGTGGTAGTGGAGGTGCTGGTGCTGGTGCTGGTGCAAGCCGTGAGAGCAATCACATCCCGGGACCCATCAGGACCAGAGATTCTCGCGGTCCTTCTGCGCGAGGAGGTATGCGGCCAGGACGGGGAGGCCGCATGGGAGGTCCAGCTGCAGAGCCGAGTCCACAAGACTGGCTACCACCTTCTGACCCCAACGTTGCGTCACTCTTTGTCACTGGTGTCGAGGACGACCTGCCAGAACACGAGATCCGCAAGCACTTTACACAATATGGACAGCTCCGGTCGCTGGTTTGCTCGCACCGAGCGCACTGTGCATACGTCAACTATGCCAAGAGAGAGGATGCAGAGACTGCGGCAGCAGCTCTGAAGGGCAAGGTGGTTATCAAGGGTTGCCCGATGCGAGTCACTTGGGGCAAGCCGAAGCAGCTAGACAGCCTGGATCAGAACGTCAGGATGCAATACGCAAAGGAAGGACGTCAAGTGGCGGGATCATCGCGACGGGCCGCTGCCGCTTCTCAAGCCGCCATTGAGGCTGGTCCACAGAGCAACCTTGACAGCATGGTCATTGCGCCGCCACCAGGTGCCGACGATGAAGTCCAGTATGCCAGCCTGGCAGGCAACTAAACTAGCTTAATATTTCCTTGCATTGGGACGGCGTTTCGCGATGCGTGGATTGCATGCATGGGTATCACGATTCAATTTGTCATGGATAAAAAGCCTAGGACGAGCAGCACTTTGTTCCGCCTAATGTAGTTTTTCCCTTTCCCTTTTTGATGTCCTCGTTATCGCCTCGTTCGGTGTGTTCGTGTATCCGTAGTTCTATAGATTGTTAGTCGAGAGACCCCAATACCAATGATGTTGTATGTATCATACTATATTTGCCATCTGGATCCTCTGCTTGACCCTGCACTACGTTCTCGCGCAGGAACTTGGACACCTCTTCTGCATGTACCAACGACTTTTGCAGCTCCTCACTTCCGATGCGCAGATTGCGATTCGACTCAAAGTTCTTGCGGACCTCTGCGCGGGCGGCCATGAGTGTGTGGGTGTCGCCTATCACTGTGAGCATGTTTTCAAAAGACAGTGAGGTGTCCGTACCTTGGAAGGCGATGCGCGCAGACCGCAGAAGGTTCCGGTAAGCTGCCAATGCCATGTTGTGTCGACGTGAGAGGTGAATGGATAGCAAATAACGTGGGCGCGGAGGTCCGCAAAGAAGATTAATTGCACGTGATGCTGTCTTTCCGGAAGATCCCTGTCGGCGATCCAACAGTTGCATCGGCGCTGATGTCAGGCCTCACAGAGGTCCACACACGAGCACGCACAACTGGCCTCTACAGTACAAATCGAGCTCCCACGCCGGGCTTCGATCTGCCACTGAGCCACCATGGTGTCTTTCTGGCCCTGGAAGGTAACTTTCCTCTCTCACTAACCCCGCCTTCTTACGCTAACGGCAACAGGGCAGCGAAGACGCCGCGTCTTTTGAGAGAACACTCAACGCCCTCACTGGCAAGATCAACAGAGCCGCCGCGCGAAATGACAAACAAAAGCAGCTCGCGCGCCGCGCGCGTGTCATGTGGACGCTTTATGCTGGCTTTGCATATATTCTGATCGCCGTCGTCCTCACTTTTGTCACTGGCTGGCAGAATTGGGGTCCTATTGAGGGGTCTGTTGTCGCGGGCGGCCCACTACTGTACATCCCACCTTTGGAGCCGTTAACGCGTCATATTTGGCTAACCACCATGCCGCAGCATCTACGGTCTACGCTACGCGCTCATGAGCTACTTTGACTACCGCATTCGCAACACGGAGCATTATCTCGAAAAGTTGGATAAGGAGCGCGACGCCACTATCGAGCGCCTAAAGGAGGCCACAAAGTACAACTCGACGCAGCAACTGCTGGAGAAATACGGCGGTGCTTCGCCAAAGCCAAAAGAGTTGGTTCAGGATGAAGATGACTCTCCTGCCCGCAGCAGGTCAAGGGGACCCCAGAAGCCGCTACCGCCGCCAGGTCCACGCACTGGCATAGCTCCTCCGCCTACTGCAAACATCAACCGACCTCAGCCTCCCCAGCTTCCGACAACTCCGCAACAGGTGCCTTCGATTGTGACGCCTCCACCTCCGCCATCGCTGCCTCCTCTCAATGCACCCGGTGCTGAATTCGCTCCCAATGCCTTTGAATCTCACCTGAACAAGCCGCAGCAGCAGGAGCCTGCCATCCAGCCCCCTACAGTCCCCGAAACCCACTGGTACGACCGTATTCTCGATGCCCTGCTCGGAGAAGACGAAACCCAGGCTAAAAACCGCTTCGCCCTAATCTGCACAGAATGCCGCCTCGTCAACGGTCAAGCCCCTCCTGGAGCGCGTACACTAGAAGACGTCGGCCGCTGGCGCTGTGGCGGCTGCAGTGCATGGAACGGCAAGGAAAAAGTCCGTGAAGACGATGTTACACGACTTGTTAAAGGGTGGGAGGCTGAACGCCGTGCAAAAAGTGAAGCCCATCTCCGCACTCAGAGTCCTGATGGAGGTATCGATTCGGATAACAGAGAGACGGAAGATGATGGCATTATGATTGGGGCTGATGAGGGGCTGGGCGTTCATGTCCCCCCTACGGAGAGTACCGAGGATGATGATGCACCCCGGGCGAGGGTTACGAGGAGTAAGTCGAGAGGGAAGGCGAGGAAGTGAAGACTTGAGTTAGACGGGGCATGATGGGTCTCTTTCTTTTTCTTTCTTTGCTGTTTTTTCTTTTGTCCAAAAACTGAGGGATCGACTGCAAGACTAGCAAGCAAAAAGGGTAGGTTTTATAAGATTTTTTTTCTTTTCTCTAGAGGGTTTAACCCCGTGGCTTGGTCTAGTCTAGCAGTCTCCCACTTTTTCTTCCTCCTCGTCCTTGATTGTTTTGTAAAACTATGAAAGTCTTTTTTTTTCTTGTCGAAATCGGTGTAGTACTGATGAGTCTTTTTTTTCCCATGCCTCACTACCAAAACTCCTATCTTCTTCTCCGCGTGTATGAATTTCTATAGATTCCCCTCATCATTAGATTCCCCCCCCCCTTCCATATCCCCAAAGTATAAAGAAAAGCAGCATAAGAAAAAAAAAACCCAAACTCGCATCCCCATAAAAATCAATATTCAACACACCACAGCAACTACAGTTAAATCACTCATCAATCCACTCCTCAGCCAAAAACCTACACTGCACATTCCAATACTCCCACAACAACCTCCTCGTCTCACTCATTTCGAACTCGCCGTCTTCATCTTCGTCGCCTGTTGCAGTAGTGGTGATAGTCAAGTACGCAGTACTATTGCGTCTATCACCCGCGACCGCTCCTTTCGACGGGTCTGGATGCGGATCGGGGCTATGAGTTTGCGGGCGTTTTGTAGTGGGGTTTGAGTCTGGAGCTGGGGTTGCGGAGGGACGCAGAATGGTGCTGGTGGGGCGTGGTGGGAAGAGGGAGGTTGTGGTGGTGGTTGTGGATTTGGGGCGAAGGGGAGCGGTAGGGGCGCGTTTTTGGAGTTTTGTTGTCATGGATGGGGTGGTGGGTTTGGGTGTGGGTTTTTGGTGGACGCTGGGTTTTTTGGAGAGGGAGAAGTGGCGGGTGAGGTTTGGGGTGCTGCTGGATCTTGTGGCTGGGGCGATGCGGGTGCGGGTGCGAGTGCAGTGTGGGACGGGTGCTGTGGGGGTGTTTCTGGGTAGGGCGGTGGGTGTTTCTTCTTCACGGTGGAAGGGCATCATGCGGGATAAGTCTACGCTGTTGGCTTTTCGCGGGGGAGGAGAGATACTGGATGGGGAAGATGTGGGGGGCTTGGGACATGTGGTGATGGGAAGCTTGTTGAGCCATGTACGCAGCCATGCGGGTTTTTCGACTCCAGTGTCTTCCTTGTTTGGCTGTCGTGTTGTAGAACGGTCTTTTGCTGTGCTCTGTAAGCCTGAGTTCTATTGCACCAGTGGATTAGTAGCACCTTGTGTACTCATAACAGCACTTCTGTTCTTCTTACGAAGAGTGTTTCTCTTCTTTAGCGGTGCGCTTGTTCGTGTAGTATCGTGAGTGAAGACCTTTCTTCCTTTCTGAGCCCGAGAGTTGGTATATCCTCGTGAGGGTCGTGGGAGAGGGCAGCTAGTATCGCGTCTCGTGCTATGCTCGAATTGTCGTTCAATCTTGCATAGGGTGCATATTTTACGGACCTGATGATCCAGTCAGTAGTTACTGGTAAATTCGTTGAGTAGGTGGTAGATGTGACTATCATCTACATCGATGGGTAGTGACATTTGCATCTCATAAGATAACCTATCATCAGTTCCAGAGGCATAGATTCATGACTTACACGCTCCATGTTGATTGTCGTACCGCACCGCTTGACAATGTTGCTAATAGATGCTGAGATACTGGTCCTTCGAACAAGAAAACGGGAGCTTGGGCAATAGTGATCATGTATAGAAAGGTTTGCTAATTGTCATTTTCCTGTAATACACAAGCATCTTCGCACCCTGTGCGGGGAAAGCGACAACGGCTGGGACAGGGTCGATGGAGGGTCAGCATCGGTATCAAAGAGACATCATCATGTACTATGAGAAAATCTAACCCAAGTACTGTACCAGAACCAACTCCATTTCCCCATTTACATGGTTTCTTATGCAATAAATGGTCTGGGCCTTGCAAACGCTTCAGTTAGTATCGTCCAAGTTTTGGTTGAGACTGGCAGCTTCGCTTTCGACTCGACAAAGAAGCACTTTGTAGAACCTTGACTACTTTCCAAAGAGTGTACTGGCCTCATTTTGACAACGGAAGAGATGCTCTTAGCATTTGGGCTGGTGGTTGGTGAGCACTTTCCATTGTTGCTGGATGAACTTCAGGTGCTCCTCGATAATCTATCTTGCTTCGTTCCATTCATTGTCATACTCTGTCTCCTAAAAGGGCTCCATTATCTTATTCACTCGCAAAGCTCGTGTATATTATTCGTCGTTCTTTTGCAGAGCTGTTTCGATAGCGCGCTTGTATTTTTCGTATTGCCTGTTGGCCGCATTGATCTCGCGCTTGTATCTTTCACAGATGATGTTCTGATCCTGATTTACAAAGCCCGCCATCCAACCACCCATCGCTTCGCGTTCTGGGTCAGGTCCTGGAGTATTCGGTCGAACCGGTGTTAAGGGTTTCTGGTTTCTGTTAGGGTGTGCCGACTGCTCTGAACGAGATGACTTACAGGTGACGTCTCTTCATGTGCCCTTTCTGGCAGAGTGTGTTCATTCTGTTTTGAATTGACCTTTGAAGCAACGGGCTGTTGTAAGTCTTTTTTGACACGCTGGTGCATATCGGGGCCAAATGAGTGACGTTGGACAACTGACGCGGCATGCGCATGAGCGGGACGTCTTCATGGCGTTCCTTGAGCAATAACAGCATCAAAATGGCGTGACCAGGCTGCAGGGGAGAGTCGAACGTTTTCAGCAGTGTTAGTGAAGCCAGAAGTGTTCTGCTCAACAATGATTACATCGTCCAGAAAGATGCCAGCCGTCTCAGCCATCTGTTGAAGCTTTGTAATTATTCTCTCAAGTGTCCTTGTTTCCCTCTCAAATACAGTCTTAGAAACTTGAGTTCGACGTGAGTTCTCCTCACGGAGCTTTACTCTTGGAATCTTGATTGCATTAAACGACTCTTCGATAAGGAAAGCCTCCTTTTTCTGCTCGACAAGCAAGGTATCGTGCACGAGTTGGACGCTATGATTTGTCCGTAAGATTTCGAGCAACTTTTTTACTTCGTTGTAAGTGCACTCTTGCTGCTTGATGGGTTTATGGGCTTCGTCCAACCTTTTCTTCTCGACCTTAACAATATTGTCTTCCTGCTGTTTCATATTTTGCCACTCAAGGCGAACAAAATTAAGGACACCTCTGCAGTTCTGTATCTCCTGTACGATGAGTGTTTTCAGTTCGTCATTGTTCTCTTTAGCAGTTGCTTCAATCTTGGGAGATGCCATGGCAAGTTTGTGCTGGGCTTCTTAGTGATATTGTGATTTTGTTGCACAGAGTTGAGATGTTAACTGTACGTTGTCCGGAAGGGAATAGTGGTTTGCGGTGATATATCCGTGTTGCGTGATGATGGAAGTCAAAGTGAAGGTGAGGTTAGAATCCGTCCGATCTATCGGCTCTTATCGTTCATGCGGACGAAACTTATCGTAACCTGAGTTCCTGAGTATGCAATGAGCTTAGCAAACAAGTGTGATGAAGAGATCTGAGAAACCGTCAATGTAAAGGGCTAGCAGCGACGCTAGCGATGTGATGGTGGTGATTGCCACAATGAAAAACGCGGGGAGTGGGTCAATGGCAACTTTACAGGAAGGCACACCCATGCTACGTCCTTTTCAATGCAAACAGGACACAGAAAGGAAGATCAGGTACCCATCAAGTCTAGAGACTACAGGTCTCATGGGTCGGTGACATCACACATATATGATAGGATTTAACATTCGAGTCGCGAAGAGCTACATAAACTAATAATTCCTCAGTCCACTACATGTCATCTCATACAAAACATATCAACACATGGATGTAAACACATACAATAACAAGTCGCTGCGTCGTCTCATAGCACAGCTAGAAGGGTATCCCGAAACAAAAACAAAGCACAAATACAAAACCAGCTGCCAGGGTGCAAATCCGAATTGCTCGCTTGCCCGTTGTCGCCATAATCATGAGTGTTCGTGAAGACTTAATAATAAATGCCCTGGCACACGAAAAAGGTCAGGAACAGTTCATATCTTTCACTCGCGCAACAAACCACCAATGCCAAGACCTACACCTTGATCGACGCGTCCGCGCTTGGGCGGACTCGTCTGATTTCGCAAGTCCGCTGTTGATGGCATGCGGCCCCTCTTGAGCTCGTTGGCACGAGTCAAGCCATGGCCCTTTTTGACCTGGCCAAAGATTTTGCTCTGCACCAGATTCGAAGGCTGCGAGGCCGGTGCGGACATGATGCCCTTTGCTGGAGGCGGTTGTTGCAGCAGGCTTCGTGCCATTTGGCTGGCTTGGGATTCTGGCACCTGGTCGTCTTCGCGATCTGTAAAAGCCTCCTCCTCATCAATGCTAGACGCAGTAATGGTGGAGTTGCTGCTTTGGCGCCGAATGCTTTCGGGCTTCTGCTGGTAGTGGATGGGGGGTGCTGACTGGGGAATGTTGGTTGGCGCAAAGAGGGGCGGTGTGCGAGGCACCTCGGCGCGGGGGAAGGCAGCTCTCTGGTTGGGTGTTTGAGGCAGTGATGACATGGATTGTGCACCTCGCTGGTGGCTGAAGCGTGCCCTTGGCGCCTGCACTCTGTTGGGAGTCGAGGGAGCTGTGGACGCGTCTTGGCTGAGCATCTTGTCGGCCAACAACAGAGCCTCAAAGTTGCTCTGGCTCCTGCTTTGCTGAGAAAGTGGAGGCGGCGGGACGCGATTGAGGCGGTTTCTTGGGGTAGGCTGGGCTGGGGTGCCAAAGGTAGATCGGGGCGAGGATTGCTCAATTTGCTCCAATAGAGGGGCAATGTGGTCGCGGTTGTTGCGGATTCTTGTCTTGAGCCTGTCGTTTTCCTCAATGAGACTCGCCAGCTCGCCCTCGCGGTGCTCAGTCAAGCGCTTCTGCTGCTCAAGCATCTCTCGCAGCTCGTCGTTCTCGCTTTGAAGGACTTGGTTCTGGCGCGTCAGTTCAGACACCATGACAGCATTGGCCGCGTTGGCCGAGTCATGGTACGTCTGTTCTGGCGCGGCCATTGTGGCACGGCGCTTCTCCTCGGCTTGCTGTAACACGTCGAGCTCGCGTTGGGCCATGGCCAGCTCGACAGCCATGCGGCTCGCAGCTTCCTGGCTCTCCATGACGGCCATGTTGTGCTGCAGCTTGTAGTGGGCTGCCGAGAGTCGCATATCGCGCAGTGCGTTAGACAGGCTGTTCACCATGGCCCTCAGTTCCTGGACAGAGGCACTGTTGACCTGGTCCTGGGGATACAGGCCTGCGCCCAAGTCGGCCAGGGCAGATGCCTGGTCGGGCAGCTTGGTGGTGGGCGGGGGAGAAGTGAGCTGGGGAGTGGGGGGAGAAGGCGTCCGCATTGCCGCGCGAGCAGCGGGCGCCTGTGAGGATGAGGGGGGAGGTGTCATGGACGACGTGGTGCGGGGAGTGGGCGAGGCCAGCTTGGAGGTGCCTGGCGACGCGGGCTGGTGTTGAGGCGGGTGCTGGTGGGCGTCCATTGCGGCGGCGGCGTCGGGCGGGCGGCGGTAATACGCGACGCGGGAGCGCGACTTGTGCGTGTGGGGAGAAGGCGAGGACGGCGTCGGGGCGCGCTGTGGGCCGCTTGCGGTGGCGAGCAAGGGCGGGGGGACAAGGGATGGAGAGTGGCAGAGGTGGTGGTGAGGGTGAAGGGCAAAATAGGCCGTGGCAGACGTGTCGTGGGCGGTCGCAGCGTCGCGGGCCCTGCGTTGGCTGGGCTGGCTGGCTGGCTGGCTGCCTTGGTTGCAGTGCGCGCACGCGGCGCTAGGCCCAAACGGCCGCCATGTCGATAAAACACAGACAGCAGCGTGTCGGCTGGGCAACCGTTCCCTCCCGTTCACGCTCAGACTGGCTGCTGCGCCCGGCGCGGAGAATTACTCTGGCCCCAGCCAATTTGTCTTGTCGCCACACGATCCTCGACCCTCGTTCCCGGCCGGGCGTGCCTCTAGCTCCTTTGTCTGTCTATGCGAGTCTGCATGAACGCCTTCGGAACCCCTAGGCGTGAGCGTGACATCCTGTAGCGCCCAACACCATGGACCAGTCTTCGTCAACCCGCCCTTCGGGGATCCCCAGGCCCGCCCCCGCCTCTCGTCTGCCCGTCCTGCGTCAGTCGGCCAGCCAGTCGCAGTTGCGTGCCACCCCCTCGACCGAGCAACTGCGCAAGAAGCCCTCCCTAGCCTCCATCTCCCGCCCAACCGCCTCGACCCTACAGAAGAAGACATCCAGGGCCTCGCTCGTCCTCCCCAACGGCCCTCCTCCTGCTGCTGCTGCCCCCTCGATTGCCGCGCCCCCGAGTTCGACTCCAGGACGGACCCCCTACTCCTCTTCCCGGAGAGTCAGTGGCATCCCCAACTTTGGCCAACGCCGCACCTCGACTGCTGCTTCGAGCGCTTCCTCCAATTACAGCGATGCTTCAACCTTCAAGAAACCTCTGGCCCGGCCTGTCTCGTCCCAGCCGAAGGAATCGTCACGTCCAACTTCATCTGTCCCTGGCGGTCCGGAAGACACATTAGGCCGGCTAGAAGGCTTCAGGTCGGCCTCAAGGGCATCCTCACGCGCAAGTTCACGGGCAGCACACCATGAAAGCGACACGGAACATGAGGCCGCCGTTTCAGATGGCTCAGAACAGCCACGGCCCTCACTTTCGGAAAGAACCATAGAGAGTCTATCGCAACTTCCATCTTCACCAGCACCAAAGAAGGGAAGGCGCAGGTCGAGCTTCTTCAACAACGACAACAGCATGCCACCACCGCTACGCCCAGCGTCAGCCACGTCCAACGGCAGCAGACCATCGACCAGCGATGGCTCGCAACAGACCATCCCAGGAACTCCAAAGAGACTTGCTGTTCCCCCTACCAACAGGATGTCCATGACATCCCCGGGCAAACGAAGTGCGAGTGCCAATGTCATTTCATCAGCTGTGACGCCTACCAGACAAACATCCCTTGTGCGTTCCGCGTCAACCGTTAAGAAGCAGCCACTATCGGCAGCCCACAATCTCCAAGACACACCCAAGCCGCGTCTGATGACCAACACTAAGAATCTGGCTGCCCGCACACCGAGAACCCGGGCATCCCTTGGCAACATGTTTGCACAAGCAACCTCACCTCCCGGTACTGCCGTAAGTTCTCCAGTATCAGGTCACGAGACCCCCGTGAAAAAGACCCCAGACACCGTTCGAAGAGTCGCCAGCTCTTCAGCAGCTCTGCGGGATCATATTGCAAAGGCCAAGGCGGCAAAGAAGCCAGATATCGCTCCGGCACCCGTCGAAGCATCGCCAAAGGCTGCGAGCTCCTCGAATGCCTTGAGAGAACAAATCGCAAAGGCTAGGGAGGCTGCCAAGCGCGCAAGGGCCGAGCCCGTTAGGAACAGTACACCCCCTTCGGATGTCATCATTCCCGATCCGGCCGAAATCGCAACATTTGACTTTGGTCTCAATGAAGACCCTTTCAACCAGCGCACCAAAGGTGGCGCTTCTGTTCTGCGTCGGCGTATCGATACAGCTCGTGGAGATGGCCGCTTGAACATTGCTGCAATGGGCCTCAAAGAGATACCAGATGATGTACTTTCAATGTATACTTATGATCCCAACGACACAAAGGTGGCGTGGGGCGAAGTTGTAGATCTTACTTCTATTCTAGCTGCGGATAATGAGCTTGAAATTATCCCAGACAGCATGTTTCCTGACGTTACCGTCGAAGACATGATTGATTCCGACGAGGCAGGTCCTCAGTTTGGCGGAGTCCAGAATATTGACTTTCACGGCAACATGCTTCGAGAGCTGCCCATGGGACTGAGACGACTTACACAGTTGTCCAAACTGAACCTCGTAAGTCTTTGCTCAAGCCGGCGGTGTTCCCTCAGTCTGGCTCCATTTGTATGTTATACAAAAATGCTAACAATATCCAGTCAAGGAATAAACTATCCATGGAGGTATTCGACGTGATTGCCCAAATACCCACTCTTCGGGAGTTGAAGCTAGCCGAGAACAACCTGGAAGGTCCCCTGTCACCATCGCTGTGTGATCTTACGGCATTGGAGATTCTAGAACTACAAGCAAACGAGCTAGATAGCCTCCCCAGTGGCTTCGAGCGCTTGACCCAACTCCGCACGCTTAACGTAACCGACAATCAGCTCCGCAGCATTCCCACCGAGGTTTTCTCTTCCGCCCTCATTGAGCTGCACGCATCTAAGAATCGTCTCGAGGGTGCTCTCTTTTCTACAAATTCTGTAACGCATCTGCAAGAACTGCACGTGGCTCAGAACTCTCTTACGTCGCTATGCGAAGACGACTCAATTGATTTGCCCGCACTTAAAGTCTTGAATGTTTCTATCAACCGACTTACCTCTCTACCTGCAGTATCGGGTTGGAGCAATCTCATCACTCTACTAGTGGGAGAGAATAAACTCACAGCTCTGCCTGAAGGTTTTACCGCCCTTCAGCAGCTCCGTACTGCAGATTTTACTGGCAACGACATAACCCAGCTTGACGAAAAGATTGCACTTATGGAGAGTCTTGACCACCTTACTGTGGCTGCCAATCCCCTGCGTGATCGAAAATTCCTTTCCATGGGTACCGAAGACTTGAAGCGTGACTTGGCCTCTCGGTTGCCAGCTGATGATCTCCCAGCCGAGGTTGATGAAGAATTTGTGAATGAAGATGCTCAAGAGTCTCAATCCAAATGGGAACTTACTCCCTCTGGCACTTTGGATCTAGCAGGCAAAGATATGGACGAGCTTGAAGTTGACGACGCTACATCAGAAGTTCTTGTTAATGGCTTACGTCAACTCCAACTGCAGCGCAACAAGTTCATCGCTATTCCGCCTGTTGTTGGGACTTTTCAACACCTCACTGTTCTTGATCTTTCCAGGAACGCTATTGGAGTTGCATTGTCAGCACCGCTCGAGCTCGCCCAACTTCGCGATCTCCGTCTTGCTAGCAACAAGCTGACAAGCTTGACACCACTGACGGCCCACCTCACAGCACCGCACCTTGTCACCTTGGACGTTTCGATAAATCGCCTGAGTGGTGCTCTGCCTACCCTTCACACCTCATTCCCGTCGCTCACCACTCTGTTGGCATCGGACAATAAGATTGCAGAGGTCTCTGCTGAAAGTCTGACGAACCTGAGAATTGTGAACCTTGGAAACAATGACATTGACCGCTTGGAGCCACGTATTGGCTTGCTCCAAGGCACTCTGACTGGCTTCGAGGTTGAAGGAAACAAGTTCAGGGTGCCCAACCGACAAGTCCTACAAAAGGGTACAGATGCCGTTTTAACATGGCTTCGAGACAAGATACCAAGGGAGAGTTGGAAGAGTACCGACAGCGCAAGTACTGAATTCTTCGATGCTGATGATGGTGGCTTTTAGTTTTCTCGGTTGGGATGTTAGACTAGGGCGGCAGGTTTAGGAAAAACAGGGCAGGTGTCTATGGAAGAGTTATTCTCTTGGCTATATTTTAGGTATTTTGTAATACTTTCATGTATATATCTGCCCTATGGTCAAGGGTTTGGAGGTATTTTCTTTTAGACTTGTTCCTTGGTATATCTTTCTTATTTTTTCTCCCTTCTCACTTTCTATCATTTCCATACTTGCTATTCTTTTCTCGCGTATCAAATGGGGGAATTGCTACAATGGCCATACGGTGTTAATTGTAAAATTAGTCATGGCGATCTGATTACGCAGAAACATGCATAGCCCTATATCCTTTTAGAATGCAACTCGATAAAAATAATTCCGACTGATGTGTGATCACCGTTGTTGTACATAGTTTGGTTCAAACGTCCATGTCCCGAAGGATGCGCGCCGTCTCGTCGACCCACTGACTAGCGGACTAGCGTCGGCGAAACGCTTTTCCGCCAGCTCGCCTCGCGCACGCTAAGCGGCACCTCGAAAATTCGCGGATTGTCGAGATTTCTTTCCCCGACAGCCGTACGATTCACTAACCACCAGGTCCGCCATCGAGGTACGTTAGCCATTTCCGCGTCGCACCGAGCGCAATCGCAACATTCCATTGTCAACGCGACACTCGATACAACAAAGCACGGTTGGGCGACAGAGGGCTGATTCGAACATAGACAATCCGATACAATGGCCATCAAGCACAACCAGCAGATTCAGAAGAATCACTTCCACAAGGACTGGTATGTTGGAGAAATGGGAAAATTGTTGCAACGGTTCAGTAAACTAACTGCAAGACAGGCAACGCTACGTCCGCGTGCACTTCGACCAGGTAATTCCCCTCTCACCTCGCTGAGAGTAGTGGCGCCTGTGTACACATTTCTGACATTGCAAACAGCCTGGCAAGAAGAAGTCCAGACGCAATGCTCGTGTTGCCAAGGCTGCGAAGGTCGCCCCCAGGCCTGTTGACAAGCTGAGGCCCGTTGTCCGCTGCCCAAGTAATTATTTTCTGCCGAATGCACGTTGACAAAATTGCTAACCGCCGTAGCCATCAAGTACAACCGCCGTGTCCGCCCCGGCCGTGGTTTCTCTCTTGCTGAGTTGAAGGGTAAATATTCTACTTCAACTATGTTGAGCACTACTAACATGTGCAGCTGCCGGTATCCCCCGCAAGTTCGCTCGCACCATCGGTATATCTGTCGACCCCCGCCGCCAGAACCTTTCCGAGGAGGGCCTCAAGGCCAACGTCGAGCGCCTCCAGGAGTACAGGAAGCGCCTCATTCTCTTCCCCCGCCGCAACGGCAAGACCAAGAACGGTGACGCCTCCGCCGAGGAGGTCAAGGCTGCTAAGAGCGGTGACAACCTCGTCAGCAACACCTCTGCCGTTTTCCCCATCAAGAACACCGTCCAGCTTGAGGAGGGTCCCATTGGCAACTACGAGGCCACCGAGAACGCTTACAGGAAGCTCCGTGACTCCCGCGCCGAGGCCCGCTACGTCGGTGCCCGCGAGAAGCGCGCCAAGGCCAAGGCTGAGGAGGCTGACGCTAAGAAGAAATAAGCTACTCGCTGGTGAAGCGACTGCGTGGTTCTTTGCTATGGCTTACGAAACTATAAAAGTCAAGGTTACGATACGGCAATGGATATTTCCAGCATGGGTATTCCCAGCGTGGGCAATCCCAGCATGGGCGGCGTCACGGTTAGGTCTGTCTAAGGATGACAGCATGTGAATGATACCTAGTTTTTCAAATGCAAGCCGTGCCTCCCATTTTTGCTGTTTTAGATGTGTCCGCCCCGAGGTAATATTTGTGTCACTAATTTATCTCGTCAACAGGGTTCGGTCCTGGAGACGGTGGATTCAGGACTCCATTCTTGGATGTTAACGTGATTTTTTATTGCAAGTAACCCCACAGCGCTCTGTGCCTCGTCCAAGTTTCGGTCAAACTACAAGTCAGCCTCTTTTTATCAATACGGACTTGGAACAGTACTACTCAGCATTGACCAAGGCTTCTCCTTGATCTGATCTGTCCCTACATATTCCTACACTCCAAAGGGGCACAAAAAACAGAAACTAAGCTGATCGAGAATGTACGTTCAACCAGTCACATCAAAAAACATCCACAAACTAACAAAAAGGTCCATGTGGTATAGTTATTCAATTCATTTCACCCATTAACCAATCATCAATCTACAATGAATATCCCATTGAAAACACGCCCGACTAGAGCAAAGAACCCTACGACTGCATATTAAAATCCCAAACGCCCGAGCCATCCAAATCCAAGGGGGGTTGGAAATCCAAAATATCGCTGTCTGCTAACGGGAGTTGGGACTCGGAGTCGGGGTAGCTTGTCGCAACGGAGCCTTGGTAGCTTGACGGCGGAGGAGGAGGAGGGGGAGAGAAGTTGTTGGGAGGTTGATGTTGATGTTGGTGGTAGCCTGATGATGATGATGATGGTGGTGGTGGTGGTGCGGTGGCATGGCTTTGGGGGTGTGAGTGTGTAGTATCAGTCATGATATCATCCAAGCCCCAGGTCTGAGAGAAGGATGAGGTATCGGCTGTGTTGATAGGAGCAGCGCCAGCACCAGTCGCAGTAGGACTCTCCTCACCTCCACTCATCCGGCCGCCATCTTCATCTTCCGTTGTCGCCGCCGCCGCCGTCGTCGTCGCTGTTGCGCTTCTGCCTCCCATCTCCATAACCGCATCATCCAGCATGTTGCTCAAACAGCGGGCGGCTAGGAAGGCCATGTCGGATTTCCGGCCGAGATACCATAGTCCTTCGATGCAATCGCCGCATCGCGCCCGCGCTTGCTCGCGTTCTTCGCGTGTGGAGTCCGTGGAGGCGGCGATGGAAACGAGTATGTAGCCTGCTCTGCATAGGGAACGGACGAAGACGACGGTCCAGGGTTCCGTCAGTAACGCCGCTTCACTGAGGGCAAAATGGAATTCGCTCCGTACACCCCCTGCGGCTGCAGCTGCCGCAGCTGCAAAGTCCTCCTCGCTCTGCGCTGCGGAATGTATACTCGCCAGACTCAGATCCGCGACCGCCAGCGCATTTTGACGGCGCAGCGTCGTCACGAGGTTCGCAGCTAAGCGGCAGGCGCGCTCGTTGGGGAGCGATAAGGCTGCAGTGTCGATTGTGTGGAGGAGATCTGAGAGGAGGAAGATGCCGAGGTGCCAGTGACCCGCGAGGAGAATGTACCAGGATTGAATACGCGTGGGGAGTGTGGCATGGTGGGTTATGCAGTCTGAGATGAAGGGGGCATAGGTGCGGGTCCAATGCGTATATACTTGGAAGGCGGCGTTGATGGCGGACTGTTGTTCTGTCATTAGTATGACATCTCGAAGATGATGGATTTGTGGAAACGATCTTTCAAGTTCCTTTTTGAAATGACGGAATTTGACCTACCTCTATTTTATCTGCTGACGCTCGTCGTGATACGAGCGTTTGAATCTGCGATACCCGTCGATACAATAGTACTTTTACCGGCGCGGCGGAGCTCAGTGTTGAAGCAGCGAGTTTGTAACTGCATGGCCATCTCGTTGCTTCGGGGTCTGCTTGCGAGTCTGGGCTGCGCATGAACAAGTTGCCCCATACTTTGTTGTCTTCTGGGTTCTTAAATGCCTCACTTTCCACAGTCGCGGCGTCGATGGTGGGGTCTGGAGGGACAGGATGAAACTGGGTGTTGAACATGTTTGGTATTACTGGCCATGCGGTCGAGGCAGAAGTGGCGGCGGGGGGAGGAGTGGGCTGGGTGGGTTTGTGGCTCTCTGGTCGAGGGAGTTCGCAGTCTTCATCGTCGACGACTACTGTGCGTTCTGATATTGTGGCTGATAATGTGTCGAACATGACGCCGAGCCAGTATAATAGGTTGAATGTGTCGCGGTCTTCTTGTCGGAGAGGGTCTTGGAACTCCCCGTCTGCTGTCCTAGGCATGGCTTGTTCTGCACGCTCCAGTGCGCGTCGCTGAGCCATCATCTGGCGCAATGCTAGTTCCAGAAATATGGGTGCTTCGTCGTCTTGTATGATGCTCTTGAAGTATTCGTATTTGGCTTTCAGTTGGGAGACGCTGTACGGAAAAGGGCGGGATATGTCGAGAGGCCGCTGCGTGAGCGAGAAGATGATCATTGCGAAGACCACGCGGAACGAGTCGATGCCAGCTGCACGGTGCAGTATCTGGGATGTCTGGTGCCATAGACCTTCTTGCATTGATCGCTCAAAGTGATTCGACTCTGGGAATTCGTCCGTTGAGAAGTTGAAGTCTGTTGGCCGAGCCCGCGAACCTCGGTCACCTGCTTGAGCCCACTGCGATGCAAAGGCCACGACGGCCATGTTAAGTGCCTTGGAGGCTGTACGCTCTTCCTCAGCCGTCAAGGCTCGTATACGAATGGAGTTGTACGCTCTGTCAAGCTGGATGACACGGTTGTACATTCGGTTACCCCATATCGAACCCCATTCCCTGTTTGCCCTTCCTGCTGATAAGGCGGACGGCTTGTGTTTCTGTAGTGTGTACGGACAATTGTGCTCGGTCAGCCAGCATGAAAGGGCGTTTTCCATGCTGTCGTTGTAAATTCGAAGTAGGCCGTTGGTTACAAAACCACGTGAACTCCTTTCCCCTAGGAGCATGTCCTTGAGCTGAAATGAACCGTCACCCATCGGCCGCTTATCTCTAAACCTTCCATCGAATGAGGATCGTTGGGAGTGTGATGATGACAAGAACGGGCCTCGCCCGTAGCTCTTGCGTGGTCGCACTGGCACCAGATCGCTAGCATAGCCGGAACCGCTCATCTCGTTATCGATATCCTCAAGTGGCATGTTGTTTGAGTCATCTTCTTGATCCTCCTCTTCCCCAAAAGACTTTGCCCAGCGTCTTCTTCGGTCAGCTACCTCGAAACTAGTGTTGCCCTGGAAGCCGTGATGCTGAGTCGTGGATCCTTCGGTGCTGTCAATGCTACTTTGAGTCCCAGATCTTGTCCTCTTTCGTTGAGGTTCCTGAGTTGAGTTGACAGTAGCTTTCAACCAGTTGAAAGTGCAAGCCTGATTTTTTCGGAGGCAGTTGGAACAGGATTGGCCTGTAAAGTCAGCAAATCTTTCTGCATCGCAGGCTCTTTTGCTGCGTCGACACGCATCACAACTGCGTCTTTGGCGGCGGCGAGGGGGATCGGGTAAAGCCGATGGGTTGGCCACGTAAGTCGGAGGTGGTGGTTGTGATGACTTGTCAATGTTTTCCGGGACCTCCTTCATAGTACTGCCTTCGAACGTCTTGAGCATCTTGGATATTTCGAGCTTGCACACACACACACACACACACACACACACACACACACACACACACACACACACACGAGATGACCGGCCAGATAGACTCATCAATAGTGCCCCAGGGGCAGAGACTATAGCGGATACTTGAGGCACCATGGATGCAAGCATTGCAGAGCACGGTGTCCTAGTCCCTGCAACGACCCCGCTTTTTTATATTCACTGTACCCATTGCGGGGGATGGACTGCGAGGATGCGAAATCTTAAACCTATTCCAAAACGTCATAACCGAGTCTTGGTTTCAAAACTGATGGCTGTCGGCCTGAAGATCCGCTACGTGCCGCTTATGCTGTGGACCATTCAAAGCGTGATCGCCATACTGAGGCGCTGCTCTTAGTTAAGATCATGTAGCAGCACAAACATATAGAAATCGGGCACACGCGTTGGGCGGTGACGAATTACACGTGAAGTGCATTGGCGTTCGGTGTTTTTTCCCTCAGGAATAGCGCCTTCTCGGCCGTTTTGGTCAAACCTGGATCCCTAGCTGAAGCGCTTGCTTCCGCATCGCCTTTTTCCATCAACCAAACGAAAACACCTGCCAATTTGAGCTTGTCATCGACTCCGCTAATGTACCCTGTCTCACCAACTCTGTTACGATGCCTTCCCTATTGCGATGGTAGATGCAGTGCTTGCTGGAGCACGAAGAAGCAGTCCTTGCGTGGCAACAATGCCTGCATCTTACTCCCATGGACACAGCCACTAGAGGCCAAGGAACCTTGCCCGAAATGATGTGCTTCCCCGACCTTCTCTCTGCGATGAGCCGCTCGACATAAACGTTGAGCAATATTCCTGCGGCCCGTTTCTAGGCATAGAATAGATCTCGGGAGTACATAGCGTTCGTTAAAATCGACGTCAGGACCGGGATACCTTGACAACGGAAACCCGGAAGATGTGGTTGGAATCTGGAACAACTGCTTTGCAATGGTTGGTCCGAGAAGCTTCACACATGTCGCTTGACGTGACACTCCTGAGAGGTTGTGCTAAAAATCGTTATCAACCATTGACCCGATTATGGATCAAAATATTGAGTTGAATCTGCAGACTTACTGACGTGTCCGAACGGCTCTGAAACCCCAGCAGTGGTTGCTTTGTACTAGAAAAAGCCCGGTAGATAGCCCCTGACAGGGAGTAGAGAATGTTTCTTTTGCAGCATATCTCGCCGCCAATTACCAAGCCACGTTGTTATGGTGGTCCATCTGTCCAACCGTACTTTTGCACGCGCTCTTCGAGAATCTTCGGTACTTGATCACGGCTAATTGAATACCCAAGATTGTGCAGCATCGACACACGTGGCTTCAACGTTATATTCGTCAATGTAGGTGTGGTGTGCGTAATCTTGGACAGAAGCTCCCAAGTGCGAGATTCTCTTCATAAAGCCGTAGGTAGATGCGCTCGAGGGCTGCGTTCAAAGTCTGTGCTCCTGTCACATGTTCTCCATGCATTGTCATGACATCTTCTGATTGCTCGCGATACATATCCGAGCCTCACCAAAATCGAAAAAGAGCGGTCGACGGGTACCGATTTCCGTTGGGAGATCGGTCCAATCTAGAGGGTCGACGGGACTACCTCCATTTCTTATCAGAGAAGGTATCTGCAAGTCCAGCCGTCTGAGCCAGTCGGATGCAAAGAGGGACGGCTCGAGTTTTCGGGTCTATTGTTCCGTCTGCCTCAGAGAAGCGAGCTTTGATCCGTTCTGGGCATAATTCCATCTCTTCCGATTTGCCTGAGCCTAAGGTTGTCTTCTAGCCGAGATGCATAGCAAGTGCGTTTAGTATGATTGCTTCGGCACTTGACGTGATCTTAAAATGTACTGTTGAGGATCGTAGGCCCGTAATCACACGATCTGTCCTTCTCGGCTGCCCGGGCAAATCAGTCTTAGCTCTTCTTTGCAGCGATACAACAACCGCCCTGGTATGTGACCTGCCCTGTCATGTAACTTGGTCTGTATGCGCGAACATTGTGAGCCATTGGTAAAACGTTGGAAAGTATTTTGGTGGTGGCTTTTCCTATGCCGGGTAGGTCTCGAGGGGCGAGTGGGGAGCGTTTCTCCAAATACAACGGTATACTTGGGCTCTGCAGGATGAACAGAGAGGTTAATTTCCTGTGAATATACATGACGGGGACACCAGCAATTTGAATCATGACGTTTTGAATCGGCCGGCCATTCTATTCTACATCGGTACCGAAGAATCGAAAGATGGGGCATGGATTTCCCGATACAGAAGTCGGCATCATTGATCCGCAGGACGCTTTGTCGTCGTAAGCCTGCTTGTATTCTTTTCCCTGTAAGAGTCGTCGGGATACCGCGGCACATACTTGACTAGCTCGAAGCGGTGGATATTGCGGAAGCGGTCCGGAAGCGGATCGGAAGCGAGATCGAAACCATTTGGTAATCAGATAGAATACCGTAAACAAAGGGATGTGAACATCAAAATTTCCTTTGCATTTGTTCTCCTTTCTTGACGAGACAGTTGATAGTTAGAGGTTGTGAAGCGCTGCGAAGAGGTATGTATGCGTTGCTTGCTGTTGTAAAAAATCCAATATTCTCTTGCTGAATGCATAGTATCTTGCTGTTCTGATCACTATCTTCTTCACAGGGTTTTCACTTTCGTGGTTTCTGCAAGACATCAGCTGGTCATAGATACCGGATGTTTTGGATTGAAGAGTGCTAGATGGATTGGGGATGCGCATCGCCCTAGTCCAGAGTGCATACTACGCTGGATAGTCATCTCCCGTCTTAGTTTGGAACGCCTACTACCAGACGTCCAGACCGTTGAGCGCATCGACCTCAATATTTAGGCGCAAAACTTGGTCGCAGGCATCTTAACACTTCCATGTAGCTTCGCTGTGCTGATATACTGTCTTGGTGATCAGTTTTGGTATCGTTTTCATTCACACCCTCACTATCGAGTCCTTCACGCTGACAGATTAGAGCAAGGTACTCAGGACAAAACTGACTTTCTATGAGCTGCAGCACAAGCCAAGGACGTTAGCATCGAAACCCTGAAGGAAGGATTGCTTGGTGATGCTAGTTTCAATACTCAACATACCTGTCATGCATGTCCTCTCGTTTACAGTATCTGCACCGACGTGCTACGTCGAAACATGCAGTCTACTAGTGATCGCAAAATGACGTGTTTTAAACCCATTTGGGTATAGAGCTGCTGCGTAGCTTCCCCCCCCCCACACTGTTAATTATTAGCTAATGGTCGAAGGGTCATGGTTCCTTCTTTTTAGTTTGAAGATCCCCCGCTTCCTCTTCCGCTACCGCCTTCACTATACCGACACCCATCAGGATGGATCTTGGGCCGAGAACTACCAATGCTTAATACGACTACACATGAAGACGTGGGAGCGTCGTGGTTGGCCGATATGCTCAGGTTGATTCGCATTACCCACTGGCAGAAAGCCGTCTTTCAGGCCCCCAGCGAAATTGGTCGACGACTGAGTCTTGCTGCTTCGTTACACCAACGCATTCGCAAGCGAAGAGAACATCTGTCTCTTGAAGGATTCAGGGCGAGACCCGAGACCCCTGTCGAAGCTCATGGGCTCGAACTGCCACCTTTTGTCTTACGATGAGCTTACCGATTGTGGCCACAAACTGCACGTGGATGCTTGGTGATCTCAGAACAGTGGGTCTCGGAAACGGGCGCGGCATGGGATGTGGTCATTCGACCCTGAACGAATGGGTTGACAAACCCTGCAACAATACATCGTAACACCAGCTCAGCAGCTAGGGGTGTCCGCCTCACTTGTGGTCCGAGAAGACGATTGCGAGGGAGGACGAGGTACATGATATATACATTGCACAGGCACGCGACGTCCTACGGCCGAAAGCAAGGGGGTTCATCGGATTAGCTGCCAATAGCGGCACAGCCATCAATGAGCGAGCTTCAGGTTCTCAGCATACAGGCTCCCCAGCGAGCTTATCTTTGGGTCGAGCTAAACAGACCGGATGAAGTTATCTGCAAACGGTAGCGGGCGATAGGTTGGTTTGCCACAAGGCGTGTGCGTTATATCCGTTTCCCAGGAGCACGGACTCGGTAATACGGATGGGTAGCAATAGAATTGCTTCCGCGCGGGACAAAGAGGGCATCGATTGACTTCGCTTTAGCCGCATGCAAAATCACGTGGATACGATGCTTGCCCGTCGACGCAGAACCGCGCAAGCTGGCACAATAGAGCAGTAGGGGAGTGCAGAAAAAAGGGCATCCAGAGCACTCACATTCGTAGGACGCTTCATGTTTCTTGGACGCATACCATCATGCTCTGCCTGCCGTTTTCCGAATACCGACAACCAACTTGGAACGCGAGTCGGCATAGTTCCCTTTCAACGCCAACGACTGCAAATCTGGCCACTCAGCAACGGCTCCCAATGAGGCATCCAAATCCCATCCCGCCAATTAGTCCGTCTACAGTGACACCGCCTGTTCGTCTGCTACTCCGTCTGTCAGACCCCAGCAAAAGCACTCGAGTCCGCAAAAGTCACACTCCCACTCGTCTCTTGCCCTCCCATTTCCCCTCCTCACCACCTGCATATGACGTGTACCCAGCGGCGCAAAATACGCATTAATATCCCACTGCGGCTCCCCCTCCCCCCGCTTCGCTACAGACCCGCAAGATGACGTCCCAAAAACCATGCCTTCCGCATCTCTCTGAGCCCCAGCAACATCACCATGCAGAAATGAGCCTTGATACACACAATTCTGCCACGTCTCCCACTCACCAGAACTGAATGATGGAGCCATACCACCCAGCGACGCATACGAGCCACATGCATACGACCACGAATCCACCCCGCTTTCGTCCCATGTCCTGTGTATTGACGGATTCGTCCGTGCTGGGCTTTCGCCCCCAAACCCAAGTTGACGCCGTATGCTTTCCTCGCTGAAACCTTGATCCAGATTCGTGCACTCCGGCCCGTACACATGCTCGCTCGCACCTCGAGACCGCCCATTATTCGTTCTCGCATCGACATGCTGCGGGGAAACGAGTCTATCGTTTTCACTAGACTCGGTGCAGGCCGGTGGCTTTCGCGGCTTTTTCTTGTTGCGGCGTCTAGCCATATTGGCACGGAAGCAGGAGGCGAAGAAAAAAGGGAAGAAGGGGAAGAGGACGTGTGCTTGTAGGTAAGGAACACGGAACTTGAAGACTTGAGATTGTGGAGTATTGGAGAGACTTATGTCGAGTGTTTATAGGTATGTCATGATAGCGGTGTTTGGGGTAGTGAAGGGCAGCATGTATTATATCATGTGGAAAATACAGGTAAGTGAATGTTGTGAAGGTGAAACGTAATTGAAGTGATGACTAGATCGAGTCATGTGTAGATATCAAACTGATCTATCTAGGCAAAAGATTCAATTCTTTCTTAGCTCAAGCATCACACATCCAGAATCATGTGAAGTTACCAGCATCTAAATCACAGTCCCCTTTTACTCAGACCCAACCCACATACATTCACAGCTGCAAACCAGAACTAGATTCTAAGCAAGTTTCTCACCGGTAACCTTGTACAGCATACTTCCACTTCCGGGCTCACTAACCACAATCGCCTGCGCCAGCTTCTCGTCCGTAATATCGGGAAACTTCTTCTTGTAGTACTTCTCGATCCAAGCCTTCTTGACAGCCTCGACCTTATCCTTGGGCACAAGATGGACACTGCATCCGCCCCAGCCCGCGCCCGTGAGACGACTACCACACGAGCCCGCCGCACGCGCCAAGTCGCACAG